GACCATAGATCGATAATAAAACCAATCAGTTCTGTTAGTACCAGTTCCGTGCATTATAGAACACTATAATCACTACTCATTACATATAGGCATAATCACTTATTATTTTGAATCATAGTGATGTCTGTAGTAAATCATTAATTCAGAAATAAACTCGTTTAAATCCTGTTAAAACTAGGGTTTTATTCTAATCAGAGAGGATTGAAATTTAAAGTGATGTTTGTTGTAAGTCATTTACTCGAAATACTCGTTTAAAACCTTGCCATTTTTTTATTTTAATCGTCGCTGAGCTGTTATTAGAGACTGCATGTACAGATCAAATTAATGTTTTAGTTATCATTGTGGACGGAGTCATGGGAATGTAACTCATTTGGATCTGACGTTATAACATTAAGCACTCTATTCGATTCAGCTACAGTCTCACTCCAAAATATAAATGGCTTAAAATCAAATGTTTATTTATCATTTCAGTATATCACGGTTGAAAATGTTATCAGCTTGATTAAAAAATGGAAGTGAAGTTGATAATTTTTATGAAGATTCCAGAACCAATGAAGTCACTTTATTAAGTGCACGTATACCGAGAAATGCATACAAACTGAAAATTCGTTAGTTATTACCTGCTAGTACTAATTCGAAAAGTTTTAATTATGGTGCTGTTAAGTTATATTGACATGATGTAAGACGTGTGTCGGATATATAATCCTCATTAGGAGAACTGTCTTGAAAATGGGGTAAATTCTGTAGATGTGCTCTAAAGATCTATGAACAAGTTAACCTAAGCGAAACTTGGATATACTTCGACGTGCACAGTTAAGGGCGTGTGCCAATTAGTCAAAAAATATAGCCTATGATAAAAAATAATGACCCCAATTTCTGTTTCTTGAATTTGACTCAATATTTTAGGAGTTGGTAGAAAATGTTTATACTGCACTGTAACTTTTGATATGGGAATCAGCTCTATTTGAGTATTATACAGTGATATGTGCTAAGGTTTTGTGTCCAATTCTGTGAATTAGTGCTTCCAAGACAACAATGGCCAACGGAACAGAGCCAATTATTTTAATATCCGATTCCACACAGACATTAAACGTCATCACTAGTCTGCTGGTAGTTCTCGGATTAATCGGAAACTTGATTTCATTGGTGCTTAAAATGTGTCTGCAATTCGTGATTCCCCCGACTTGGAAAGTCGCCATTTTTCTTGGAGACGTGTCAAATGTGTTTCTCGGAATCGGGTTGTCGTTCTTTCTGTCTCACGCTAGCAACCAGTCGCTAGGGATCTGTAACGCAGCAGGATTCTTCATACTGTTCTCCATCTTGGATTGCCTCACTTCCGGTTTACTTTCAGTCGTCATTTTAATGTATATTCAAAATCCTGTGAAAATTTCCAATTTTTCAAACTACTCCAAGAGTCTGCTGTTTATTTTGATTTTACCGCCAAAAGTATTAGCAATCGGAATTTCGTTCCTGCCTTTTATTCCAGTGGATTATTTCGACATTGAATCCGACTACCCTGTGAGTTGCTTCCCTTTGAGAGAATCTGGCGCCAAAAGTGCGGAATATGGCGCCGTGATATTTGTGTTACTATGGAGTATTTTGTTAGCAACAGTGATCATGTGTGTTATGTGCGCTTTCAAATTATGGCGGAGTAGTTTAAGCAGAATTCATGCGTCATCGCCGGATCTGTGGCAGACGCAACTTCTAGGCCAAGGGAAAACGTTCCAGAAGTTTCTTCTCATGGAGCAGACAATTTGGGTGATTACGTTGTTTCTGCTGACGTTGATTCTCTACACAAACTCCACAAAGTTGCTCGTTCCTCAGTGGATTGTGTACGTAGCGTTAGGAGTCGTCACGACCCTGCATTCCATTTTCAGCCATCTTGAAACGGGTCTCTGGAGCACTCTCTGCTGCTCCACCAACAGAAAGAACAAGGAACCTTATCAGAGGTTGAAGAAGCTAGAACTGATCAAAATAGAGGTAAGGAAGACAAGAAGAACTATTTACTATGACAACAAGTTAGGTTCACAGAGATCCTGTCTTCCAGCTGGCCAAACCTTTTGACATCTCTCCTGCATTATGCGTAGGATTACCTATTTACAGCTGGATAGACCACCAGGTTGGGTACCGGGGGACTAGGATAATCAGGAAGGATGAATTATTCCAAGGTCAACAGTAGTTGAGGATTGATAAATTAAAATCTGAAAATTGTTTGATCTTTCAGGCTACCAGTAAATTAAGAATGAAAGCATCTTGGTCTCTCCATAAAGGAGTGAATAAAACAGGGATGCTGAAAGTTTACGGGGTGAACCACGTCCAGTACTGGTCCCAGGAGATAGTCATTCTGGGAATGTTGAGGAAATGCCATCATCCGAGCATTCTACAGTGTTTGTGGACCAGTACATCGAACCCGTTCTTTGAAACCATGACCTTGATCAGTGGGCAGATCATCACCAGCGACTCTAGGTAGAAAGTTAAAAATTCAAAACATGTCACAAAAAATTCTACGATCTTTTAGTGAATTCATCCTTGATTTTATATTGATTCTTTCTGATCTATTAACAAGCTCAAAAAGTATAGCCAAACTATGGAGCAACCAGTTGTCCAGACAGAAAATAAGTCTACAATATTCTGGTTATTAATTTAAATTACAGATTTCAGTATTTCTTAAAATTTTGATTATATCTTAGTTAGAGTCTTGTGTCCCAGAACGACTTTGATAATTTCAGTTGGGTCTTTTTGTCTGTTGCGTCAGAGACTGTTCATTACTCCATGCGCTCTATCTGCAGATGGTGCACAGAAATTCCATCAGAACCCTCTAATTGTGGCCAAAAAGAACACAGACAAGCATCATTGTGCCCAGTGCAATCTACTACACAACTGAACGTGGTGATACTACGACAAATTCATGTGGCCATTTATTTTTGTCATTTATTTTCAGATTGATCTGTATGGAACTTACAAATGGCGGCTGCCTTCACCAATTCCTACGTGACCTTGACATTCCCCTACCAGAATCTTGCCAGCAGACGATACTTCATGACGTAGCAGAAGGCCTATCTTGTCTTCACGATCAGAACATTCTTCATAACAACCTCACGTCGTTTTCTATCTACCTCAAAGGCTCGGTCCAGGTAAGCTTTTTTGCTAGCCTTTGGATTGCTAGTGCCATTCGACATTTCCGATTATTTCCGTCTACCTGAAAGCCTCGGCTCAGGGTACTTGTTAGCTCTTGGGGCTTGTATTGTCGTTAAGCATATCCTATATACTCTCCTCTGTTGTAAGCCAAATTATATAGATAAAGCAAATTTGGAATTGTTGAATTTGAAGCTGAAACACAGGAGTCAACGTAGCTGAGACCACTTTTGAAATCATGATTCCACACTTCATAAACCTTAATAAATTTTATTTGGCAGTGGCGTGTCTCAAAATGATTATGCGGAGAGACCGAGTAGGTGCCACCACGTAGAAACGCCACTGTTATTTGGTTGTTTACTGTTTGGGCTACTTTAGAGAATCCACATTCCTAACTATATGTTAATTTTATTTAGCTGTAGTGTACAAATCTCACGACAATCTCTGTCTTATCTGTCTTATCTTCAACTTCAAGTGGATCAACATGATCCCAATATCAAAAGAGATTTTCTCACAAAGTGTTTTGAATTGACAATGTATATACCTACTTCATTGTAGACGGGTAGATAGCAAGTAGATTAAAATGCAGATCTTAAGATGGCTGCTTGCGAACTTTAAGATCCGGGTTTTTTGTTTTGATTTGTATTTGAATACGAATCTCAATACGAAAAGGAACCTTAATTTTTCTTATGATATCTCTGCTTGCCATGGTCAGTGCGTAACACACAGATAAATAAATAGGAAACGAAATAACCTGATACATTTAACAAAGATTAGACAGAAATCCCCAAACATTTTTGCCCAGAAGCTGGTCCCGAACAAACCTCTTGGCAATAATTTTTACAAGGTGCCATTTTGACAACTTAAGCGAGGATCCTGCTTATTGGTTCCTGACCAAATCTCTTTACCATTGCCATCTTCAGGTTCTCCAGCTGGTCTTTTGCCAAACCTCTTGGAAATGTCATTATATCAAAAAATTCTGCTATCTCGCTAGCTAGACACAACAATAACTGCTAAAATATATTTCGACCATACTTTAAATTCTGTAGATTTGGCTGAATGACTCTGTATAGTAGCAATTCAATAACCGACGTGGATTAAACTATGATTAAATATCTAACAGATTAACGAGAGGGATCAAATGACTGATATAGATACCGATATATAGATTATATTATAATTATTATGGTTCAGATATAGCCTAGTCTGTAATAATTATTTCCCTGTAGGCGATATACTTAATCTATTCTTTTAGATGGTCCACAATTGGTATTTGGTCCACTCAGCTACTAATGCTTTGAATGTACTGAGTTTGTAAACCAGTATCCGTTTGGCATTTAGTCTTGTCAATTCGGCACCCGTTTCAGAGAGTCCACATAGCTTATAATTATAATTTCTTATACTTGTCTTTATTGTCTCATTTCTATTTTCAGTGCCTGGTACTGCGAGCCTCTGTCGGAGATTTCGAACACGCTTCTGTTTACGGAACTCTGCTATCAACCGGAAGTGTGTCGACACCAGTCAGCAAGAAACAGTTCTTCTTACCGGATATTCGCGCCTTTGCATTGGTTGCTTTGGAGATACTGGGTGTCGTCTGTGAGAAGAGGCAAGAACTCCAATCTCATCAACACAAAGTCGGGTATCAAGTAATTCCAGAAAATGGCGATTATTTTCATTACGAAAGACCGGACTCTAATCTTAGCTCAAGCATCCCGGACTCTTATCAGCTTCCGAACCAAACAGGCGTCGGAGGATCTTCAGGAAAAGGGATGCAAAAATCGGGAGGGAGCCAGGATAAGTTTCTGGTCGGAAACCGTCCGATACCGACGAAAATAATCGTGGAAAAGTACGTTTCAGATTCCAATATGGCGAAATCTGGAGATTACCATGACAACGATTCTGTGATTGACAGCGATGCGGTCTATCAGACTTTTAATTCCGCCAAAAATTCATTTCTGTCTGTTCCGTCCGAAGAGCGCACAATGAACCCTTATGTGAATGTTATCGGGGGTAATAAAGGGCGTCCCCTTTCAGCAAGGGGTCTACCACCCCCTCCAACGCAATCCTTTATTGCTTCCTCACCCGGAGAAAGTCTACATCCGTATGTTAACTTTCCACCGAGACCTACTGAGGGGTCGCGTTCATTTAGTGCTAATAGCAAACTACAACCGGGACAGACCTCATCTGGACATGACCACCCATCCCCGAGTCCAACATCCGCTCTGGGAACACAACAATATGTATCCGGGCTCGATCCAAATTCAGCATTTTATCGAAAAAGTGAAAAAGAGCGCGAATATGAGGAAATTGACGAAATCGCAGAGTGCATCGAGTCGGATTATTATCGGAAAAATATGTATCCGACAAAACCGCAAGCTAATAATCAATCCTATCAAGAGCGGCCGACAATATCTACTTCAGGATCTATGCAGGCATCAACACCAGCTTCAGGTGCGGCTTCAGGAAAAGGGAGCATTGTTCAAGTACCCGCGAGACCAGTTCCTCCAAAACGAAACCACGGGCCTTCAAGCAGATCTTCAGGAGCGGATCAAAATCATGCTTCGTTGCCAGGAATGGTGGACAGAAATTCCTTCAGAGATGCCCCGTCCCTAAAGGATCTCATGTCCGCAAACGAAGCCGCAAAAATCCAACACCATCTGGAAAGCTATCAAGTTAGAGTGGATGGGCAGATAAGGAATGAACTGTTACATCCCGGGAATAAACCTTGGCATCAAGATCCAAAACCAATTCAAAAGAATGGTAAAAAGCCAGAATGGTTTCATGCGCAGATTCCGCAACCCGAAAATGAAATCGAATATGTAAACGTGCCTATCAAGCAACCCGTTGAGGTAGCGAAACAATCAGTGGTCAACGTCAGACCGAACACAGCGTACCCATCCTCCCAAATCCAACGACCAACTGCCCCTCCCCCTCCCAGACCACAATCAGCAAAACCAGCAACACAAAAGCCACCATCGACAAATCCACCGTCCGGAAAACCTCAAACTGTGAACGCACCACACCAAAATCTCTTAAAAGCCCAAGAAGAGTCGCAAACGGTCGAAATATCTTGCGAATATCAGATACCAACCGTTCGTGTCCAATCAGCGAAGGCATCAAAAGCTCGGTCGGCCATGAAAAATGCCATCCAAAAGAACTCTCACAACCCAGTCATGAACTCCGATCGCGGAAAATCAAATGCCGATATTGAGAAAAAATATTCCAAGTTCGATCAAATCGGAACAATACGCGACACGTTCCGTAGACTGAAGGAAAAACGACGCAACGCACCAGATAGTTCTTCTAATTCGGATCAAGTAACTCAAAATCAAACAAACGTTCAACAAACGCAGAATCATGAACACGAAACTTCTGTGAATCATCAGAGAAATGTCAGCAATACAAACAATAATGCAAAAGTGGAAACTGTGTCTAGTTTCAGTAGCGCTGATAGTTTTAATAGCAGTCTGTACAAACAGCATCCTCCCAAATCAGGTGAATCGTTAACTAGTGGGGAGGTATCTTCGCTGTCTTCCCAAGCGGAGATGACCGCTGATCAACTGGAACACAGCGGCTACGCGTCCGACCCGATCGCTATCAATAAAAACGTTGTTGTCGCAAGTGCCAAAATAATCGATAGCGGCTTTGAAACAGCTTCCATAAGTAGTGCTATAGGAAATCATGCATATTCCTGCTCGTGCGTGGACGAAAAAGTAAACGCACCATGTACGTGCCAATACACATCTCCTCAAAAACAAAATAGTGAAACTAAAACATCTTGGAGTAATACAGATTCCGTTTCATCGTCGCTAGAGTCGGAAACGACGCTCACCCAGAATGTGATATCGTGCCCAGACGTTGTTCCCCAACGATTGACTCCAACAAACGGGCCGGACGTGTTAGGACCGGATGAGCAATACCCGCAAAAATCTGAGAAATCAGACCGCACTGAACCTCAGAAGACCAAGAACAATAAAATATTCTCTAAAATGCATACTACGAGTATAATGAACAAAAAAGCACAGAAGAAAGGTGTTGCTTCTAAGAGGTACCAAGAACTCGCAAAACGAGGTGTTCCGTTAAGAGTGTCCGTAGTTTCTGCTAAACAACCTAGTGAGAGTTCGGACACTCAAACGGATTGGAGCGAATTCGATTCCAATTACGAAGCGGAGGTAATCGAAGAAGATCCGGAATTCGCAGACGAGGAGGAAGTGTACTCGGATTCAGACGCACAAGACTTTTTAGACAGTTTAGACTCGTCCTCTGCACGGAGCAGCGTCAAGGCACCAGCTCGGATCGGATCATTTAAATCAGGATCGGTCGTGAACGAGGTGATCCGGGAGGTTCCGGAAGAGTCCTCGTCGACTTGTGATGAGGAGTCTAAAGGATTATTGAGACCAGGAGAAAAGTTGGTGAAGGGTTTCGAGATTTCATCCAGTAGTGCTTCTGATCAACCTCCTGTTGCAGGTACGTGCAAGCCCGTCTCTAATTTCTTGACCTATAAATCCTCTCATTTCTCAACTTTATTGTCAATTAAGCTGAATTTTAGGAAAGATTTCTTACTTAATCAATTAATTCACATCAACAATTCTATGGCCTTTTTTTTGGTTCACCGGATATATAGTCTCGAAAAAGAAATCAAATTCAATCTTGGATCACAGTTGCTGACTCATTCTTCTCGTCTCTTCCAGTTTTGTTGTCTAATTTAGCAATTTAGTCACAGACTTATACCGGATAAATAATGACAGACTGCTCTCTTGCTCGGTCCATTGTCACTAAGAGAGCAGAAGTTAGGCTGAATCCCAGTGTTAAAGAAATGTTAATTCTCTTTTCAGGAGCTGGCTGGGATGAAGAAAGTAAAATCGACAGAATGTTCACTAAATCTCTTACAACAAACAAACCAAACTCATCCAAGGACCCAGGAATGGGGTTGGACGAAACGACCATCCGACAAATTGTCCAGAATCCCGCCACAAATCGAGCGCAGACGCTAGGTTACCGTCCGCCAGTTCCGGTTCGGAAGGGCCTGGACACGCATCACGTTAAATACTGTCAAGAAATGGCGTCTAAATGTAACTTACTAGAATATGACGACTTGATGCCAGCTCATGTGGACAAATTCCAAGTTCTGCGAGATAAACTTCAGAATGAAGCCAAGCTTGGATCTGTGGGCGTTCAGGTGAGTATTACATGAAGATCTGTGGTTCACTGACGACTGACTTTACTGGTGGTGGTAGCGAACCAAAGCTCTGTTTACTTGAGTTCCACAAAAATACTTTTTGATCCGTCTCGATAGAAAGACACAAAAGTAGAAAAATATCAACTCTTTGGGAACATTTCATGCCACTGTGACGTGTGAGCCCTTTTCCCTCTTATTTCTGTCTATAGTCTGTCTTCTTTGTATCAATCCTTTCTCTTCCCATCACACATTTTTTGGTAATCCTATTCTGTTTTCTTTATTTCAGCTGTTGGACATGATACAGAAATGTTGGTTAAACGATTGTCCGCCATCGACGGGACAACTGGTGAAACAACTGAGAGGTCCCGTCACAGAAACGGAATTATAGAGAAATGTGCTTACTTGCTATTTGTTTATGTGTGTGCGTCCTGTTATCTTGGACATCTACCAACTGTGGGTGAACGCTATGGTTGTCTGATGATAGTTGAAAGGCGTTGACTTTTTAATAATGGCGTGCTTTTCACGTAAATGGCGGGATTAATTACGCGGGAAATATTTCTAAACGGATTGTCACGTGACATTTTAAGGTTTCAGCCAATTCTTTAGAACTCTTGTATTCTTGACTCTTTTAAGCTGTTTTCGTCTGAATCAACGATTCTGTGTGGAACTTCGTGCGCTTTAGAATACGATAGAGATCTTTCATATTTATTAATCATCACTGTGATATTATATTCATCCGTCCATCATTGATACACGACCTGGTTTAGCTTCAGCTAATTCTTTAGAGCTCTTGTTCTTATGACTCTCTCCTTTCTCCTCTGAATAAAAAAGGGTACGTATGAGGAACTTCGTGCGTTTCAGAATACGGTATAGATTTTTCTTATTTATTAACTATCACTGTGATATTTTATGCATCCGTCCATTGTTATATTATTTCGTCTATAACTGTTTATTTTTACTATTTGTTTAATGTTTTGTTTAATTTTGCATTTATCACGCTACAAGTGTATTAAGCACTATTTTAACAGTGAAAATATTTTATTATTGTAATTTAGCATTCAGCAATTGTAAGTTAACATGGTCATCCCAAGTTCTAAACTGACAAAACTGATAAAATGCAGATTTAGGCCTTAGATGTTTTCTTTGTGTTTCTTTTCTATGGGTAATAAAATTACATATTTTGTATTAATGTAAGCCATGGAACCCCATATAAGATATAATTGTTATTATTCTCAATTCCGTCCGTTTTATAGCATTTCTTTATAATATTTCAATAAATCATTTACATTTGTTTCTCTGTAATATTTCTCCAGAACAAGTGTTCAAATACGAAGGCGGCATACCATTGGTAAAATGAGAAACTTTCAAAGATTTTTATGAAAATTGAAGCCTACTCCAGACCACTAGCCATCAAAAGCATCTTTTAGAAATTGAATGGGTCTTGGACACTGTCTGTTCAGGCTTTTTGCAATAGCCTCACCCCTCTTTACTCTTTCTCTTTCTCATTGAAATAAGAATACACTGCAAGTGCTCTCACACAGAAGTAAGAAACATAACTCAGAATAACATTGCAGGTGGTTGAAAAGAATGCAACAAATGTTGATTAAATGACAGATATATTTCTTATCTTCTGTATAATTATAAAATAATTAACATGTTTTATTAATTACTTAATAACTTAAATAATATATCACAGCATCTCATCTACTTTATCAAATAACATAGGTACTTTTAGCTTTTAACAGACATGACTGGTAAGTGAAAATACAGCTATTTTTATCAATAGCATAGAATGACTGGTAAATACAGTCAACTACAATTCTGGTCAGACATGATTGGTAAATACAGTCAAATCAACAGTCTAGAGCTCTAGTCAGACATGACTGGTAAATACAGTCAAATCAACAGTCCAGAGCTCTAGTCAGTCATGACTGGTAAATACAGTCCAATCAATAGTCCAGAGCTCTAGTCAGACATGACTGGTAAATACAGTCAAATCAACAGTCTAGAGCTCTAGTCAAACATGACTGGTAAATACGGTCAAATCAACAATCTAGAGCTCTAGTCTGACCTGATTTGTGAAAACTATCAAATTTAGAGCACTGATAATCATTGGTTAGATTCTTAAAATATCTGAAAACCTCACAGCCGAAATTATGCCAAACTAAAAAATTCTTAATTAAATACAAAGATATATCAAAATTCACAACTTTATGTACAAAAAGATCATATTATAGTCGAGCAAATATACTAAAACTGGGGACCCATCAAAACACATCTTTACAATGTCAAGCTATTATGAACTTCGTACTTGTACCCTGACTGCAATAGCCACCTTTCTTGTATCAAGGAAGTTTGTCAGCGATTTGATTGGATGCAGCTTTGTCAAAAAATCTGTAAACAATAAGACACGTTTACAGTAATTCTGTTAGGGGCTCTGATAAGCTATATTTGCTAGCATACAATCCAATGAAATCACTGCATTCCATGACACAAGAATAGTAGCTATTACAGTCAAGGTATAAGACGAAGTTCGTAATATCTTGACATTGTGAAGATGAACAAAACATAAAATGTGCAGGCCATGTTCTGAATTAGAAGTTTGAAACTATACAAGTAAAACCAATATTATATTCTTTACTACTTAAGGTGCCCTCACACTATAGCAATCACCAGTTGTGTATGGTGGCCAATAAGAATAGTGGTCTTCAGTTTCAAACAGAACTCTTCTATGAACTAACCTGTCAATTGCAATCGGAAATCATGACTACTTTCATTATTCGTAACCATAGACAACTGGTAATCGTTATGGTGTGAGAAAACCTTAACACTAATTCAAAATAAAATTCATTGCTTGTGTTTATGTTTTGAAAGGTACTCTGATGTGTATATAAATATATCTGCTCGACTATAGTTGAGAAAAGTGTCATTCTTAAAATATATTTGCATATAGTGATTAAAAACAAAACTATACAATTAACCCTAACAATACTCTCTCACTAGGGGTTAATCTCACATGCCTGAGCCTGTGCTTTTGTAACATTACTTGCAATGTTACAAACTAAAATTTCGGACCTAATTTCTAAAGTAAGTCCATCTTACTTTGAGCCCTAAAGTTTGCTATCATACTCAACATCTCATCCTTCTTCTAATCCTTAATATAATCCTTTACATCCTTTAGTTTGGCTAACTGTGATCTTTAATATAATCCTTACACCTTCTAGTAAGGCTCAATGTTTTCTTATCTTTGATGCTTAACACTCTCTAGTTTGGTTTACTGTGATCTTTAACATAATCCTTCACACTCTTTAGTAAGGCTCAATGTTTTGTTAACTTTGATCCTTCACACCCTCCAATTTGGCTTAAATATATAGCATCCCCTATATAAACTGGTATTTATCAGATGTATATATAAATATTAACAATAATAATAATATATAAAGGTTTTGTACAAGGGAAATAAAAGTAAAAGCCTTATAACAGGATTTGATTAGAAACTAATAATTCTATTGTAAAGAGGATTTCACATTTTTTGGTGTGTATCAGGAACACTGATAGCATCTATTGGCACCATTCCAATTTTCAATCAGATGTCTATTGTGGTTCCTGCAATTCGATCAATGTCCATGAGTCAGATACAGAACGAGTATTTTAAGTTAAAAATAACATATCCATGTATATACTGGCCAAGATAAAAAATATAATATTTGTTTAGGAGGTAAGCTTTGAGTTTTAAACCAATCAAATAATCAATATACAAGAGAAATGATCCACGAATAATACAGCAATTCTCTAGTAAAGTTCCATCCTGATTTCAACTGATACGAATGAGACTATCCTCGGTTGAAACTGCAATCTAGCTCTAGGAAGAGCATGAACACAGCAAAAGAGTGAATGTACCCAAAGTTTAAATCTATTTTCAGTAAAGCTACACATTCAACAAAGGGAGATAAAGCTATAAAGCATCAATTCTATCAGCTTCCGGGGTATCTTGTTGAAAATCAGGTACAGCATATTGATCCAATCCTTGTACTCGCGGCATCTGGTTACACTGGTTATTCGGCGGTCCCGCTACGCCTATTTCTGGTTGTTGAGGGGCTGAAGGATCTCGCGGAGATACGACTGGATGGTTGGGACTACCGGGAGCACGATGGGTTGTCGCTGGATTCACTCCGTTTAAATCTGCCGGACATTCAAAATGGACACAATGAAATACCTGAAGATAAACAAAATTGTTATTTTTTATGATACACAACCTTTTATTTCATTTACACTCACTGTTCAAAGGGTTAAAGAAACTATCTATATCACTAGAATAGTAAATGAACCCTTGACTTTAAGGTAAGTGAGTGAACGTCTAACTCACTGAGCCACAGCAGTTTTATCATAAAAGTTGTACGTACCTCATTGGCTGTATTATGAGTTCCCACTATTCTAATAAATGCTATTGGTAAAGGATCGAATGTCAATAACTGCCAAGCTCTGAAATTCATAAAACATAGGAGAAAAGTCAATTAATAACATCAATACACACCTCCTTACCCTAACCAATCAAAAAAAAATCTCTTGCAACTAGAAATCGTTGCCAAGCACGATATGCCCTAATAAATTTTCAGAATATCAAGGACTGTAACTCTGGAAAGATTTACCGTATGGTGGTCTGATTGGACCTCATCCAACATATCGTGATAGGCAAGATAAGAAATATGAAATATCAAGTTACGTACTTGCAGTGTTCACGTCGTTTATCAGCCACAATGGTCCAGGTTTGATGATCGAAAGAAACTTCCACGTAAAAACTATAACTTCTATCATCACAATCCCATAATAATAATCTAAAATAATAAATAAATATATAAATCATAAATTACAAACAATTACTAATAAATAAATAGATTAAGGCCCTACTCATTTACAACCAATCTGAAACTGGATTCCGAATCCTTGTCACTCATTTACAGCAGTTTGCCCTGAATCTGAATCCGGATTTTGAATCCATGAATCCGCCTCCTAGGACAGATTCGTCGGATTCAAGATGGCGTCATTCATATAATTTTAAATCAGTCTTGCTTTTCGAATCTGTTTCATTCGTTTACAACACGAATCTGATGTACCAAACTGGTTTCAGATTTTTTGTAATCGAGTAGGGCCTACTTTCAAAGATAACTGTCTTGCCTATTTACATAATGTTTAATTTGACTCACCAAATTAACCAGTTTTAAGAACGAAAACTTGAGTTATACAGTTTCTGATTGGATAAATACACTTAATTTAAAATCAGTTTTAGTGATTGACAAATCAGATAACTGGAAAACTAAGATCATCTTAAGTTAAGGCCCCTTATTTCAAAATCTTCTGTGCTCCATAACAGAGAAGACACAAACCCTTTCCAAATGTATTTATATCACAGTAACTGAGAGGACGTTCATTCATTTCTTTATTAAAACCAAAGTACTGTTCGAAATAAAAAGTTAACTTTAAAGTGATATTAAAAACCTGCCATACCTCATAGAGCCTATTATATAGGGTTGTGCTAGTTGAATTACAATAGCCCCGCTACCTAGCTGATGACACGTATACCCAGAATCCCAATCATAGTTCTTGACGTCCCCGTTAATCAGAGCATTACGACTTCTACTCACTCCCTCTATAACTACAGCGCTATTCTTGATAGTAGCTACATTCTCGGCCGGCACTGCAATAGAAAAAAACTTCATCATTATAAGCCGAAACAAAACACAATAAAACTCAAACATGCCACCTCGCTGAATCTTTTAATAGATGCATTCTTTTCTTCTCCACACAATCAGTTTTAACTCTGCTCTTAACCATACTCCTAGTTGATAAACTGCATATTCAGATGTTTATATCTACTAAACCATGATATACATACCTACAAGTCCTCTATCTAGTGTAAAAGGTTTATTGGTGTAATATCCTTCAATAGCTACCAAATGAAAAACACGGTTCACTGTATTATGGGTTCCAACTATTCGGATAAATCTGGAAAAGAAAAAAAAATTCTTATTCTACATAAAATCCTCCTTTTTCGGGTAAAAATCTCATAACTAGGTTAGACATTCGGGCAATCTTAGATATCTCCCCCCCCCCCCCCCCCCTCGGAGGTAAACATGGCTCTGCCACTGGATATCTCATCAGAGGAAGTGGTAGAGCCAGATTTATCAGGCTACAACCAGACCTTGGGTAAAACTTACTTGCAGACTCGAATAGGAAAGTAGAGTTTCTGCCAGGAACGACAGAGATAGGCTGTATGATCAATAACTCTCACATAGTCTTTATCATCCATTGATACTTCTATATAGTACGAATACGACCTGGATAACAGACACAAGAAAGAAGCTTAAACATAAATATATATACTATGATAGTTTTTATTTAGATTAGAATTTACAGAAACAAGAAACCAGAAGTCAGGTCAGTGCTTGTTTGAGAATATCATTCTCATCTCAGTTTACACTAACAATTCTTCCCTCTATTACTGGCACTGGCTTGGAACACTGTCCTTTTGTGGTAGAGGAATAGCTCATTCAGTAGCAAGTTGGTTTGTACCTGCTAGGTGTTTAGATGTAATTAAAAAAGCTGATGTTCAATGGAATCGAACCAAGTTCAATAGGTGTTCATTAGACAGCTGACTGGTATCATGCCTGTTATACTTAAAAAAAAATCCATTACAAGAGTAACAAAAATGACTTCAAAGTGTTCTCTTTCAACCGTATCTGAAACCCTTAGACAGAATAATTTTATATCTATATCATGTTCTCACCTCATATCTCTGTCCCAGAGTAACAGTTTAAACATATTGAGAATGTAGGGACGATCTAACTTTAACACGATTCCTTGTCCGTTATTATCGTCTATTGGGTGTCGAGAAAATCCTCGGTCTAAATCATAATTATGATAATCCCCATCTAATAACCCTGTTTTCATCTCCCCACGGTAAACATGAGCTCCGTGTAATGCTGTAGCTATATTCTCTTCGGGTACTAAAATATATAACAATAAGCACTGAATCATATAAAACACTATAATGTCATATACTCTGAATTTCAAAATGGTTTTATGTGACCATTTTAGCTATAATTTTTCTAAAGGTTAGGATGGTTGTGAAGGTCACATGTTACTATTCAACAGAAGGCATTGACCCAGGGTTTTTAATCCTTTGATACTAAATAAATGTTATTCAAAAAAATTTCAAACTATTAAACATAAAACTTACATAATAATCCTCGATATTTCAGCTCCATAGATCTACTTTCAGTTTGTGTTTTGATGGCGTCGAGTATGGAATCGGCAGGCACCAGGCTGGTCGGTCGAACGTTGTTTAAAAGTTCCGGCATCGTCATTAACGGTAGCCTGACACTGTCTAATATTGGGGTGGGGTCTGTGCCGTTATTAAACTCCGCCCACTCACACACGGCTTTAAATATATCCAACTCGTGAGCATAGAAAGAATCTCTAGCTATCAGTTCTTTTACCGAATTCTGTAAAAAAAAGAAGAAATGATACGAAATATGCCAAAAGTTTGGCTCAGCCTTTGATAGTTATAATATACGTGTGTAGAGGTCCACAATATCAATTTGAACCGCTCACATCAAGGACAAAGATCAAACATGGCTAGTGTAGAACATTTGTAACAAACTGTGTTATTTCATTCGTCGGCCACTTTCTCCCATATTCTACCTGTCTGTATTAGACTCTAAATGAGACAAAATCCAAGGATTTATCAGATTCAACAGATTTTCTCACAGATTCTGCTAGTTGCAAGGTGGACCTGAAGACCTTCCCTCCCCCTCTAACACCCACCCCCATCCTCTTAATATCAAGACAACTTACCTGTGATAGAGAAAGAAAAGATTCACTATGGAGAATCTCGTTAGCATTTCTGTCAATAAATTCTTGACACATGAGACACAGGGACATTAAATTATACATGTTGGCTAGGTCATAAATAGGACAGACATTACGACTGTTTAACACTGATTTCAGATAATCGGATATAGCTGTTTCTAATTCCTCAAACCCAAAACGATGAGCCAAACCTAGAATATCTAATATTGTACTTTCTTCCTGAAATATACAATAAATATGATCTGTCAAAATTCCTGAAAATATATTCCAGTTCTTGTTAATTCCAGACTTCTGTTCAGCGATTCTATTTTGACATGAAATAATTCACATCGTTTCAATTAAAATACACGAAATAGAAACACATTTTTTGTAAATATTTCTAAAAAAAGCCCTACCCCTCATATTAGCCCAGCCCTGCCCAGCTCATTATTGCGCAACCTTGACAGTTTGATCTTTAAAGAAAGTATGCATGTGCATAAGAGATCAATATACAGTTGTGGGTTGTCAAAAAGATGACACTATATTCTGCATTGTGCATGGATTAGTTGTGCATTGGATCTATTTCTTACCTTAATCTCTGTAAGGTGAAGTCTACCAGTATATATATATTTAAATAAAAATGAGAAAGCTGTGGCAGGAACATCATGTAATTCTATCTGGGCTGTTCCTGGCTGTGATTCCTTTAATCCTCCATAAAATAATGCTCTGCAAATAAAACAGGAAAACATGAAAAGAAAATCAAACAAGAAATTAATTACAGAAATCTGTCAAAAATTTATTTAAGATGTCATATGTTAGTTTTAATCAATCTGTTATACCTATAAACCATGTTTGTTCAAAACCCAAATCAAAACGACTGTACTTAGACTACAGTCATTACGAATTATAATAAAAATAGTAGTGAAAACTAAAATTGAGGCATAGGTCCCCATAAAGAGTTTACGTCTGCAAAAAGATGATAATTCAATATATACATTTACTTACCGAAAATATTCCGATCTAGCGGCTAAAATAACTTTATGACCTTGAAATTCTCCACCGTCCACTATGAGATCAATATCACTATAGTCACTATTTTCTACTAGTTCACCAAAACTGTCTGATAGAGATCCCACATGATCCACCACCCCCAGGGGAGCTGGAGAACGCAGTTGACGATGGTCACACATTACTGATCGGATTCTTTAAAACACTCAACGATTTTCCATAGTTCTCTGAAAGAAAATACAGAATGAGCCGAACTCAGTAAAGATATTGTCAATTATCAGACGGAATAAGCTAAGATCACAAAACATAATTGATTGGAGAAAAATGATTGGTTGATATATGACAATTTTACGCTCGCTTCCAGTAGATGCTGATATCGAAAACAAATAGAAGACGATCATGTACTATTTTGTCATTCTGGCAAGTAAACAAGATAGTAATTATGTATTGAATCAAAAAAATCGTTATATTATGACATGCAACAAATGATACAAATATGGTATTCATGGTTATGTAATCACAAGAGTCCAAATATAGATGAAATCAAAAGGATCACTGTTGAAGATCAATACGTATTGTATCGCGGTATGACTGGTTATAATCGGAATCAGACAAATGTCAATCCAAAATGAAGGAGGGGCAGATCAGTTGAAGTTTGTTTACATTTTGTAGTCAGAAAAATTCCACCATTTGTAATGGAGTTCTGCAATGTAATCAAACAACGATGAGGTTTTCATTTGTTCTTCTGCTTAAATGAGATACGATGCGTCGAAAAAATGCAATGAGAACGATTGTGCACTCATAGAAACGACAAAACATGAAGAAAAAATTAAAACGAAATTACCATGAACTCCATGAAAACATCGGCCATCTTGGTTTGTTCCTCCTTCCGTTTGACTTCCGCGAATATAGTTCGTGATTTGATTCCAATTAGATTCCTTATTAGGCAAATTACGATATATTTGGAACAATTTCTGAACATGTTCAAGCTATTCATTAGACAATTTAGAAATCCTTTTCCATTTTATTTTAAAAATATAACCTTTATATCCCTACGCGTCAGTTAAATCCGTTCTAATGTAAACAATATGGAACCATGATGAGGTCTCATGTGTAAATGTTATTTTGAAATTCATTTTATTTCGTGGAATTTGACTTTAACATGGCACAAAATGGTGACAGTCAGTTGCCTAGACAACATAGCAATGGAATTAACCCAAAAAATAATGCAACTTTGTCATCTAAACAACTTTTATATTCAGAAAAATTTCAGGACGATTCATTGAAAATATTAAATGGGGACAGTAAGAAAGCTAAAGAGCCTCCAAAAACATTTAAATTACCTCCAAGTTCTATTCTAGGGCAAGTGAAAAATTTTCTTCCAAAAATGATGGAAGCAAATGATAAATTGGAAGAAAAATTGCAAACAGATCCTGAGAATTTGGACATTGAAAATGTGAAAGATTCGGAACAATACATTGAAATGAACTTGGCCCTTGTAGAAGACCAAAACTCAAGTGACAGTGATTTTGATAGTGATTCTGAAAATAGTGACTCGAGTGAAAATGAAACTAAAATTCCAGAGGACAATTCCCTTAAGATATTGCCGAGCCTAAGTAAAAGTAAAATGGCAAAAATTCAAGTCTTGGGGGAAGTGGACAAGAGCCTGAATACTGTGAAAAAATCTTAGCATATTGTATACAATTATAAGGAAATAATTTTTTGATAAAGTGAGGAAAATGTGTCCAATGAGGATCGAAATCTTTGAGCTAATCATCAATTGGCACCTCCAAACGCATAATGAACTATTCTGCACATGCACTATATTCATGGTATCGTGTGAATGCGTAGAAGAGTTGATTTATAGACATACTAGCAACTCTATGTTTCAGTTCCAAGATATATAAATGATATTAGAGTGGATTTTTCAATACCGGTATCCAATAAAAGATTTAATTTTTTGTAACATAAATATTTTATATTGATTAAAATATAAATCAATTCATTTATGTTATAATTTCTTCATTTTTTATTGAACCAACCAGTCTAAGGATTCAATCTTTTTTATGGTCATCGTCAATTATTTTTCAACTGACCAATAAACACACTTCTACATGGTCTTTTTATGGCTGGTTTTGTAAATATGAACATTATTTAAATTAGACAATGGTGGTGCCAGCTTCCTGAGACCTGGGGTATATTTTGGGGCAGACAGACTTAATGGGGTCTACTGTTGAGATCTGGCCACATATTCTCGAAATGATCTTAGCACTAGGATGTCCTAGGTTCTTATCTTTTAACATTGATTCTAGGACATCCTAGCGCAAGGATTGTTTCGAGAATACATGGCCAGGATTCAAAATGTTGAAGCGATATAGGCCCATGGATCTTCTGAGAGGATTTCTCCACCCAAGACATTTTTTAGAAATGGGATTAATTTGGTGCATTTTGACAAATATTTTATTTGGTACATTTGGGGGTAAGCCTACAAATGCCCCTCCCACTCTGGTGCCTCCACTGAAACCAGCGTCTAATCTTTTTATTTGTATGGGGAGCGATAATTAAAGAAATATTGGTACAGTTGCTTCAATATTTGCTTTTAAGACTTTTTCGTTTATAATAAACATATTGATCCATTTGTTTGTAAGACATTTGATCGTAAGTGAGGTGGGGAGCGGGGTGCAAAAGCTGGCCGAACCTCTTGTCTAATTTAATCAAGAATTAGCCTTGTGTCACCCAAAGCCAAGTTGAAGTAATGAATAAATTTAACAACTCATGTCATGTTATTGCCATTCATTAGTTGAATAACCTTTGAAAAAACCTAAAAATAATTTGAGAGGGATTGAGCAAGTTTCATTCATTCATGAATCAGAGAGGAATGACATGACGTCACGTTACGTCATCTGAACTAGTATATAAATAGTAACAATCTGGTCACATGATCACAACAAATCAAGATGGCTACCTATCTAGCAGTACCGTTAAAAAAGACTTATGAAGTCGATTTTGCTAAGCCTTTAAGAAGTTTTATTCAAAATACTTATACATCGGCAGAACCAGATGATTATAATTCAGCTCTTAGCGAATTTAATAAATTAAGGAATTTGATGATCACAAAATCAGTGGACAAACACGAATCTGCATTGGAGGTTTTGTACCGGTAAGTTAAAATTCGTTACTCAAATCATCAGAAACGAAATAAAAGGGTCGTGAGAAGGCAATTAAATGACACACCCTAACGTTAAATCTGTTTTGAATTGTCTTGATCAAACATTGAACTTTTGTTAAATTGTCTCAGAATCTTTTGTTTACATGAAAATTTGAATTTTAGGCTTGGACAGTCAAGAGACTATTCTATTTTTAGCCAAATGACATGATCTTGTGTGACCAAATGTTATTTATCTAAATGAGTATCTGTTCTAGTGAATTCTGAATTGTGAAATATTTGACATTTGTCATTGCCATTACCAAATTGAAAGAATCAATTAAGGCCTCTATCGTGAACTAAACTAATACCAAATATATCGTAGATATTAAGATATAAATGTAAAAATTCTTTGTCTTTTTGAACAATAAAATTGTCTGTTCAATAAAAATCTCAAGCAATACTGTGGTTGTTAAGAAAATTACTTTTCATTTTCTTGGAAAATTCTACCAATGTAATGTAAAGCCTGAAAGGTTGTCTATGTATTGAAATGAAAAATAAAAGTACATTTAGCTATAAGCCTTGATATACGAACAAGTCAGGCTAAAATCAATGGATTTGCATTTAGAGAAAACTGCTTTTTCATTTAGTATTAAATTTAAACTACAAACACACTGACACTGAATTTTAAGAATTGTTTATTGTTTTAGAGATGATTGTCATAACTATTTGTCTATTTATCCTAATTGCAGTGACTTCTTCAAAACAACCCAAGATTTTTTTCATTTTATAGTCCATTTCTAGTGTTTGACCTACTTTGGTATCCCAGAGTTCAGATCCTGAAATGATATAAGCTTATCTAACCTGTCTTTGATCTCTATATTTCTGACCCTAGCCCTGAGAGGTAGAGATGATGTCTCTAGTGAGAAATATAATCTAAATAAAAAAAACATATTGAAGACAGTTAAAGCTTTTAGAAAGGAGTTGTAATAAATAACTTCACCTGAATCATTGATCTCATATTGGTCTGTAGGATTTAAGATCAGAGACCAGACTAAACTGACAAAGTCATTAGAAGCAAATACAAGTTACATAATGTTCTAAATACAAGATTATTGATCATCCTTCTTCAGACAAAAAGGTAGGGGGTTTGGGGGCGGGGTGTTAATAGATTTATAAAACCTGGAACCGTGAATAAAACCTTTCTCCCAGTGTTCAGCCATCTCTGGATTTTGTTAACATATTGTGAAGTCAATTTTGATTTCTTCATAGAATAAAGGGAGTCAATTAAACTAAAAGATATTTGTCTTTTAAACTTCATTTGATTTTTCAATTTCCTGAAACAGTCTGATCTTCAAAATTATAAGTTTACTTATTTGTTACTGGTACTCTTCATTAAGATTATGATACGAATCTCTCTAGATAATATACTCTCTCTTAATTGGTCATTTTAAAAAGATTTAACAAGGGACTTGCATTTAACAGCCAAATTATCAACAACAAAAAAACATCAGGAAACTTGATATTAATATCTTTGATAAAACAAGATATCTAGGACTGATAGAAGTTGTATAGATATGATTAAGGTAATACAGGAAGTTAAAAAACAATATAACTTGTCAATACAAATCTCAGGTTCACAAATTTATTATAGATTTTAGATTATTAGATATCTCGTTACTAACAAAATTCTTAGTCAAGTCACAAATTCACATTTTTTCAATAACTGAAGGTGACATAACTTTCGCCAACGTCATACAAGTTATATTACTTTAAGTTCAGTTTATATAACATTTTCTTATATTTCCACTTGTTATTTAAAGGGTTTATATAGAGTAAAAAATACAAAAAAAATCAAATAAGATAAATACTCCATTTTTGCCTAAGTGGGGATTTGAACTTATTGTGCTTTGATTGTAAACTAGATAATAATCAAACTTTTGACAGATGTAAGCTAACCTATTATATTATATATTTACAGATACTATGATCAGTTGATTGCTATAGAAAATAAATTACCTATCACAGAAAATCAGGTATTATATCTTGTTTATATAGAAAGGGCTGTGAAATGATTTAAATTTGGTGGATCTGCTTAGATGTGTTTCATGGGGATGTATGAACTGTTTATGTTTATGGACTTAATCATCCCAAGATGTCCACAAATGTCTCTGTTTGACTGTAATATGGTTTACAGTGTACAAACATTAGAATGTAGAATTCTATGTCCTACAATGATTATAATAAACATCATTATAGAGATGACACATTAAATGTGATTAACCAACTTCTATCAGTGCAGCTTTGTATATAATAAACCTAGAAGTAGTATATCCATATAACTTATGTTCTTAATATTAAAATGAAAAGGTTGAAAATTGTTTTTTTTTTTCAGATACGTGTTTTATTTAAGTGGAAAGATGCGTTTGACGAAGGCTCTTTATTTTCTGGAAGAAGAACTCTGGGTAGGTGTTGAAAATTGATAAAATTTAGGTCATGGTAATTATGTTTATTGTCAATCCAATCAAATTGATGCATTTATATACTGTAAAGATACAAGAATAATAGCTATTGCAGTCACAGTATTAATAGTTCGTAATAGTTTTACATTGTGATATTTTGATTATTATTTTTTGTCTATTATGATTTCAGCTATTGCGTCCGGAGCTTATGAAAGAGTATGTATGTTATTTAACATCGCGGCTCTACAGAGTCAAATTGCTGCCGTACAGAATAATGACAGTGATGAAGGTTTGAAAACAGCTGCTAAATATTTCCAGGTTTGTTTTGTGTTTCGTTTTAGAGATATTTATCAAATTTTAGCAAATTGTTATGTTTGTAACATAACATACTATTATTATGTATTTGAAAAAATTTATCAAAATAAAGCCAATTATCCCCACAGTTAGATAACTTATTCAATGATTCAAGATGTCTGTGGATTATTTCACTAATTGCTTTGTTCAATTTATGGATTTTCTCTTTCTGAATCTTTTTATGACGAAGTAAATGCAGAATATTTTTTGTTTGCTCTTTTCTGGTGATATTGAATGTGTAATTCCTCTTTTTTACAGCAAGCATGTGGTATCTATGGTCACCTGAAAGACGTGGTGATGTCCCACGTTCAACAAGACCCTACCCCCGATATTAACCCTGACACAGTTAGTGCCCTTAGCTCCTTAATGTTAGCCCAGGCACAGGAGGCCTTTTATAGAAAAGCTACAAATGGTACGTTACTTCCAAAAATACAATATTTTCAATCGGTTTTCTCCAAATGGTGATGCAGGTTTAAGAGAATGGCAGGATGAAAGAATGTTGTTAAGATAAGACCGGTCGCCAAACCAAGTGATTCAGACTGTCAGATAGTGAAAAGACATGTGACTTATGCCACTATTGTGACAATCTTTTTCTCATTGCACACTGCAGGTTGTTGTTGTCTATATTTTGGTACAGAAAAGTAAGATGTAATACCTCGATTTTACTAATTTATCTTTAAATATTTTAAAATGTCCTACTGTTGATTCTTTCAGATAAAATGAAAGACGCCATGATTGCTAAACTAGCATACCAGACGTCAGAACTGTATGCAGACGCCATGAAACTTATGCAGCTCTCCTCTATAAGAGATCTCTGGCCTAGGGTAGGTAACTCTTGACTGGTTTAACTTTCGTTGTCATTAGATGGACTTAGTTGTGAGTTGTGTGCAGAACTCGTGGCCTCTTTCATGGTTTTTAACCAAAATTGTGTTATATTAATTTTTATTGTGTTATATTAATTTTTAGGATTGGTTATCAACAGTGGTAATGAAACAGGCAGCATTCCACGGTCTAGCTGAATATTATCAGAGTCAGGTGGCAGCTAACGGTAAAAATTACGGAGAACAAATTGCTCGGCTGCAGGTGAGAATTCCCTATTTGTAAGATTCTGCCATTTTTTGATGGAGAAATATTAAAGAGAAATGTTATTTCAGACTGTATCCCTTTGTATTTATAAGCATTGAATAAAACTTTTACAGATTACAAGCTTTTTAAAAAAAAACTTTGTGATTGGACAAGAGTTTTGGATATAAATCCTCATCAGGACTGCTAGTTTGAAGTGGCATTGAGATTTAACATGCTAAGGGAAATAGTCTTCACTTTATGTATGACAGTGTTACATTAATTATTTCAGCATGCCCAAGAGCTACTCAATGCCTCCCAGACCCGAGGTGGAATGACGTTTAGTTTCCAGAACGATGTCAGTCGTGTCAAGAGGGCGTTAGACGCTGCCAAGAAAGACAATGACTTTATATACCATGAAAAAATACCAGAAGTGAAAAACCTACCCCAGATCGGGAAAGCTGTGATAGCTAAACCTTTGTTTCCTCCAGCCCCATTCAGTAAAAATTTCACAGGTAAACAATTGATATATAACTTACAACTTTTTATACCAAATAAATTTGGTTTGCTATTTTTTTGTTGATCAAATTTGATTTAAAATCAAAATTAGGGATTGACCAATCACATAGTTTCCATACGATTTCCATTTTGGAAATTATCGTATATATGTTAGAAATTAGGAAAATGTTACCTTTATTGTAGATTTATTTGAGAAGTTGGTTCCACTTCAAGTTCACGAGGCCCTGGTAGCGTTTGAGAATCGTAAAGCCCAGATAGCTAATACTGAAATAGGACGGCTACGTGAGTCTACACAGTTAATGAATGGGTAAGATTTTTAAATCCATTTATTTCAAATATTTTAAGGAAAGTTGTCACTATCAAAGTTTCCATCAAATATTTGGTCAAAAAAAATTTGATAGTGACAACAGGCTAATAGAAGTGTTTCAACACGGTCTATGTCAGTGGTTCTCAATCTTTTTCAGCCTTCACACCCCTGGAGTAATCACCTGAACCTTTCGCACACCCAAAAATTTGTTTCATCCACATTTTCAGCATGTGATGATGTGAGGTGCTCTCTCAAATTGAAAATAAATTCTTCTCCTACACCAGTTGTCCCACCCCTGACACCCTAGTCCCACACCCCCAGGGGTGAAAACACCCTAGGTTGGGAACCAGGCCCCGTATTCTCGAACCGATCTTAGTGCTAGGATGTCCTAGAATCAATGTTAGAAGATTATACGGGGCCAGGGATCTATGTAATAACTGTTATTTAATGTCAAATGCCTAAACATCATTTTCTTGGAGTTCAGAGTTTAAATGGGTAAAGAGTTTCAATAATTTTCACTAAAATCAGCTTAGCAAAGATGAACTCTGTCTTTTGATAAACAGCTCATATTTCTCTTTAACAAAAACCAGATTAGCATTCATTCTGCAAATATTTTGTCCATGCAATATTTATATATATATATATAAGTTATTCAGAAACTCTGAATAACAACATTTTTCAGGTTCTGTTTTATAATATTTCTCTCTCATCTTTCCACAGAGTGCTGTCGTCTCTCAATCTACCAGCTGCTATAGAAGATCTAACTGGCCAGGCTGTACCCCAGTCAGTTATTGAGAAAGGGGAACAGCTACAACAAGTTGGTGGAGTTGATCATATTGTCAAATTAATGAAAGAATTACCAGAACTGCTCTCACGGAACAGACAGATTCTAGATGAGGTACGGTACGCATATATTTATACCACATGTTCGAAACAGCTGTGTTTTTTGTCAGTGTTGAAATTCTAGATGAGGTACGGTACCCATGTATTTATACCACATGTTCGAAACAGCTGTGTTTTTTGTCAGTGAAGTAGAGGAGTCTGTAACACAGTCAGCTCGAACCTTGAAATCTTCATATATATCATTTGTAAAAGATTTAGCCAAGGACCAGCTTGTAGATTTTCATTAGGCCAATAAGGTGCAGAACAGTAGGACAAAACTGTCCATTTCATTCTAATAAATAAAAGAATTTCAAAGAAATTTTTCTTAAAAATAGTAAGGACCAAGAAAATAATTTCCAAGATGTTTATTTCAGTGTGTACGTCTCCTTGACGATGAAGAAAAATCCGACAATCAACTACGTGAACAATTTAAAGAACGTTGGTCTCGTACGAAATCAGACGTTTTAACAAAACCCATGAGAGAAGAGGCCGCTAAATACGGAGCCATTCTCAACAATGCAGTACAGGCAGATAGAATCGTACATGAGAAATTCGAAAAACATAAAAATGCCATTTCTATTTTATCAAAACCTAGGGTAGGTAGAAACAAAATGACTATTTATTGACTTGAACATGATGTCTTTCACAAATGTCTTATGAAGATAGGAAGTTAATATTTATGACTTTTATAAAAAGAGTTTTAATTGGTTAGGTGTGCTCTAGCTTTTTTTTTTATGTCTCTCAAGACCATTTACAATCTCTTGAAATTGAGGGGGAAAATTAGGTCTTATGTCTGGCAGAATGTAAAAGCTTTATTCTGTTTGAAATCCATAACTATTAAAACAATGGTCTGTATATTGTGAGCTTAGCTAGCCAGCTTAGTGTATGAATGGATATTTTGTTGTTTAATGAGATGTTGAATTTTATAGAATGAAATGGAGAAAGCATTGCCGTCTGCTAGTCCAGGAGCTGCTCTTCAATCTTCACCTGTGGTACAACAACTCAGACAACATATGGAGGCAGTGGAAACACTGAAAGCTGAACGAGACGTAGTGGAAACTGAACTGAAAGAATCCAAGTTTGATATGAGTAAGTTATCATTGGCCTAGAAATATTACATTCACATTGGTTATAATTATTGTACTTCTCAAAGTAAAATTCCTAGTTGCGTTATTCTCAAAACTTTACTTAAATGAAATTAAGCCTCATATATACTGAAAGTCTACTGTGGTATTATTAGGAATCGTACTATGATTTAGAAATTGACCCAAGTGATAAGTATTGTATTGATTGTTCCTGGCAAACCTATTATTCACATTAATTTTGTTTTTTCAGCCAGTAAATTTATGGCTGCGTTAGCTGGGGAGGGTCTGATCAATGAGGAAGCGTTATCTACTGCTGAATTAGATCGTGTTTATGCTCCGTTACGTATGCAGGTTTCTGATTCCATCCACCGTCAAGAAACTCTGATGGCTTTGATCCAGGTAGCTTTTATTATTGTTTATTCTTTGTTTTTTTTTCTTGTCAAAAAGTTAGGTCTTTGTGAAGATGGACTTTATTTGTGTTTAAAGTTTAGTTTTCGGGTCTTGAAATCACTTTCCCTGAGATCCAACTTTATCAACTTTTATAATTCTTATTTATAGTTTTATAAATTTCATCTTATATCTCTGAAAATTGTTTTTTCTAGAACGCCAATACAGAATTCTGTAATGCAAAATCCTCAAACCAGTCTGCAGCCCAACGTGAAACTATGTTGAAAGATCTGGCATCAGGATTCGATATGTTTATGGAACTGAAAGGAAATTTGGAAGAAGGAACCAAGGTAAGAATATTTTCTGAAGGGAGTAGTGTTTAATGTTATGGAGGCAAATGCCTTACTTTTGAAATTACACTTGAATGGATATAAAATTCACCCAGATCCTCTTTTGCCTCATTTAAAACTTGGATTGCATTATGATCTTAGCATACCTTGTTAGAGAGTCCACATAGCTAATATTATTTATTTGAATCTATGATTTGTCAACTCGGCATCCATTTCAAAGAGTCCACACAGCTAATAATGTTTATTTGGTGTTTAGGTTTGTCAACTCGACATCCCTTTCAGAGAGTCCACACAGCTAATAATGTTTCTTTGTTTTTATTTGTAGTTTTATAACGACCTCACTCCATTACTGGTTAGACTGCAGAGTAAAATATCAGACTTCTGCTTCGCGAGAAAGACAGAGAAAGATGAATTGATGAGTGATCTTCAGAAACAGATTGTCAACACTCCCGCCCAGCCTCCCCCTGCCACGCCCCAATATCAGGGTGGGTCAGGCACACAAGCAGGTAGGTTTGATTTGTCAGTTTAGGATACGGAAAGTATCGCTGTGGTATTTTAGATAATTACCTTCAAAAATGTTAGTAATCTTTCATTAGTTAACTCTAACTGTTTAGTTGGTGTATTAATATATTTTTTGTTTTTTTTGTTTGATGTGCTCTGGCTATATAGCTTCTATTTCAATTCTTTTCATTTCTTTTCCTGGTCTATATATAACTAATAAACACGGAAAGAGAAGGGTGGGAGATGGGCAAAGAATGAAAATGTGAAAACTTAAACCTTTACAGTGGTATTATTTTGAGATCTAATACATTTTCATGTTGAAATCCATAGTCTCTACTTGTGACCTAGGCCAGTGCTTCTATAGGAGAGTATCTTCTTTAACACCTATAACTATTGTTCCAGCATTAATCCAAATTATTTACCTGTAACTAATGAGAAATATGCGTGGGGAATTTTATTAAATTATGAAGTTAAGAAATGAGAAGAACTATTTCAATTTAGTTTTATTTTTTCTGAGTATTTTTTTTTTTTTAAATTTTGTGTTTATTGTTGTGATTATTATTTTCTAGTTGTTAGTTGAATGTTGTTTGTATTTTCATTGTTCAGCAGGAGCAAGTCAAAGTCGGGTCCCCCCTCCCAGACCCCCTCCACCTACCTTACCAACCAGTACTAGTGGAACCACCCCAGGGGGAACAGGATCTACCCCAGGGACACCCTCACAATCTTCTGGTAATTTCTTCATTTTTTAGATAACCACTAAGAATAAGACCTCCGTCTTACTGGCATTATTAAACTGGTGGGCCCTTTCATCTAGAGCTTCACACCAAAAAAACAGGTTGGGGCTATTGTCACCTTGGCATTGATTGGACGAAGTAACGCCATTGGGGTTCCTAGTGGTCAACACTACATAGTCTTGTTAAATCATGCTGTTAGTGATAGGGATAAACGAATACAACAGCGGTCCAGTGGAACTTATATCGTATAGACTAAAGCTTGCTCAGTGAGTTGGGCTTCAATCGTGGCATGGGTCAAGACCTTACTTTCGCTTTTTTTCAACTCAAAACTACAAAACTATATTTCATTAACACAAAATTGTTCTTATATCATTTAATAATTAGTTTAATTAATCAGTAAAATTCTTATTACCAATTAAGTATTGGACGTCTCCAATTATAGATCTCAGCAATTTGTAAATTTCTATTGTATTTTTGAATTCTGGTCTCAGATTAATACAATAATGTTATATGGTAAAGCGATGCAAACATCAATTTTTTTCGCAAAATTTTTCTTTTTTCAAGTTTTTCATCAAATTTTCAGGAGGACCACCACCAAGACCAACAACACAACCAAACGCCCCTCCCCCAGCTTCATCAGGGGCTAGTGCCCCACCCTCACAGCCACCCCCAGCCTATCCTGGACAACCCCCACAACAAACTTATGGACAAGGTAAGAACAGACTTTTAATTTTAAAAAAGGCGAACAAAAAGGCCTGTACATTCAATATATATTATATATTCTGCCTGAAATGGGATCATGAAATTATTAGTGATGACGAAATTATCTCTGAGCTCTATTAATTTTAGATCATATTGAAATTTATGTTCTAAGATTTATTTTTAGAAAATCTTTACTGTATGTTTCATGTTTTTCAGGCTATGGATCAGGATGGAACGCGCCCTATCCCCAGGGACAAGGATACCCCATGCCAGCTATGCCTACAGGAGGATACAGTACATACAATCCTTACATGTCATACCCACAGGCACCCCCTCATCAACAAGGAGGATACCCATATCCACCCCAGGGGTATCATCAACAACAGATGGGCTACCCACAACAAGGGTACCCTCAACAGGGCTACCCTCAACCCCCGTACCCACATAATCCACAATATCGATAAACTCTTACCCAATTTGTCACTTTGAGGAAAATTTTGTAAATTTTAAATAGTCATTGTATATATTGGATCTAATCAAAAATATTGGACGCCTTCGGAACACCTTATGCCACTCTGAGCTTGAGGTTCTCATGTATCAAATGCCTATTATAATGATATTATGTGTAGTAGTGCCCAAGGGGAGTGTATCAGGTTTAAAATAAACAGGTATTCTGACTAAAACATGTCTCCTAAATGACTATATTATATAAATTATATTTTGAATAATGACAAATAAATTTTCTGTTTTTGATTTTATATTCATGTCAAAAGAAAGTAATCCTTCACTTGGTGTCTGCCGGGTATTGACTATGGGGGATATAGCCCCACCCCCCTCCATAATGAATGAAATTCTGGACCATTAAGTGCTATAATAACAAGGCCTATAATACTATAACCTCTCAGAGCATAATGGTTAGATTATAGCTGTATAGTGTTTGTGTTTTGTTCTATTAAATTATGCAACATTGTTTTAATTAGTAACACCAAGTTATTTTTCACTGATTATTTGTAAACATTGTGTTATTGTGTTTGTTTATAGTTAAATTTGTGTGTGTATTATAAATAGGTATGTATTATATTCACAAATGTACAGTATACGAATTGTAGTTTATGTTTAATGCTATATATGTTTCTTAAAAAATACTTTTACAGTTTGACATAGTTTGCTTGACAATAATTGATTTTAATGCCAGAAAGGAAAAGTAAAAAATAATGAAAAATGCTCTTTTTTGTCATTTTAAGTGTCTAAACATCCAAACCTAACACAATACCAATCTGACTGCTCTGTTAGATAGATTTACGCGACATGAAACCCTTGTCCACACAATGAGCAGGGTATTCTTCACAAATCCTGGTACGATTCAAAACAAAAACAGAACAGTCCAACTTACATTAAGGTTTAATTAAACACTGTAAGTTTAATATGTATAGTTTCTATTACTATTCATTCTACCTATAAATAAACTGGATGATTGTGTTTATGTTTAGAATCAGTCCAAGTTGTATATTATTACTATAAGTTCAATAAGGTAGTGATCTATATAGGTCAATGTATTTTGTTTCAACTCAGTCAAATTGACTCTAGCTTATGTTAATGTATATTATATTTATGTCTTTTCATTTTTTTTTTTATTTGTGATGTAATCATCTTCTTGTTATTTCTAAGACTATTAATACCAGCTTTTTGTCAAATTTCTGTGGAATAAAATACTTATTTTATGGTTAAATTCTGTTTTTATTGGTATAATTCAACTAGTAGCCTAGAATAGTAAGACTCATCTAAATAATTGGAATTCATCATGATACTGTGGCATGCTTTAGGGATTATCAGGTACCCCCTGCTTGTTGGGACCCCAGGCTTGTAACCAAGGTTTACGTAAGGGTTTGAGAGGCTCCACTGGAGTGATTCTATAGAGCACTCAGCAGACAACAACCCAACTCTCTTTGTATGATAGGATACGCTCTGGCTTGTCAAACTGAAGTTGTGGATATCTCTTATCACCCTCAGATATAACAACAAAAAATCTCTATGCAACCATCTCTAAAATACCCCAAAATATCTCAAAATATTCCTGTTTAAAATTTTATTAACAGAACTAATATTTACAACAAATTTCAAACATGATTGGATGAAAAAATATATCATTTATATAATCTTTTAGAAATATAGACATGAGAATAAGTTCTACTTGTTCAACTTCAGTAGGGACGCAGGCTGAAAATAGGTCAGTTGTCTGAAGATCACTACTTGTTCAACTTCAGTAGGGAAGTAGGCTGAAAATAGGTCAGTTGTCTGAAGATCACAACTTGTTCAACTTCAGTAGGGAAGTAGGTTGAAAATAGGTCAGTTGTCTGAAGATCGCACAGCGAGAAACTCTTAGTACAACATATTTCAAGTTCTGTTTTAATATTTCTAATCTAATAGGGATATAGTCATCTAAAAATATAACTATAGAATACAGAATACTGGAATTGAGCACAATTTAACAACCATATCCCTTTAAATCTTCAAACTGATTCATATTTATTACCAGAACAATTGTTATGTTAAAATAAATTTACTCAAATCCAACTTTTCAAAATATTATAAAATTCTTTCATCCCTAAATCACAACCAAACAACCTTTTTCTTTCAAAATTCTACAAGCACACTCAAAAATTCTAGACCAAGTATATTTTTATTTCAATTACAGCTGGTCACAGTAGAACCTTTTTTGAGTAGTATTAATACTCTAGTTCGTGAAAGTTTCGTACAGGAACAATAATGCTTCAGAAAAATATTCAAGTATACTAGATCTGGCCAGTTGTCATTTTCTATTCAGAGAACTATATACTCTATAATCATGACAACTGATTTCTTGGTACATCAAATTTCTACGCCATATCTTTTAAAATCCCAGGTTGATTTCATTAGTGGAAATTTTAAAACTTTTCCTTCTTCAACATCTGTTAAAATATCCACCATACAGCACCCATTAGTGTTCATGACAGCAGTTTGAGATGATTAAAAGCCTTCCAAATGAGATTTTCCATAACAATAACATTCTAATAATTTCTAATTTTGATTATTTTTTCTTTTTCTCCTTGCCATATACACTGTCAAATCCGAGTCCAATAAAAACTAACACTGTTCCAATCCATTGTTTCCCACCCATGGGATTTTGGAATATTAAAACTGAGGTTAAAATGGTAAAGAATTTTCTGGTCGTGGTAACAATAGAACACGTTAAAGGTCCGAACGTCGTCACAGTGGTAAATATAAATATCTGAAATATAATAAGATTTTTATAATTTATTTTAACAGTTATTTGAATACCTGCTAGGAAAAGTATAACCTTAATTTTGCTATGTACCTTTTAATAAATAAACCCCACTTTACAAGGATACCAACATGGGTTCTGGAGGATCCTGTCTACCAGCTGGTACTTGGCCAAATCTTGATATTGATTTTACAAGGGTAACTTCGGCAGAAACTCTTGACATTGATTTTCCTGGATTAACCATACCCATTCATAGTTGGCTGGACTGGAATAATGACTTATTCAGGGTAATAAACTTCCACACACCGTAGGAGATTAGCACTCACAACCACCCATTTTAATAGCATCTGATTAACAAGAGTTCATCACAATCTGTCGACAAGCATTTCAGATACACAAACCTCATCAGGACATTTAGTTTTGGAAGTGGGAGTTAACATTTAATCATCAACCTCTAACCTAACGGAAAGATTTTTGCTAAATAAAATAAAATGGATACCAACCTGTCCAAGAGCACTGGCTAAACTAAATGATAACAAATTAAACCAGACGACTGGAAATCGAGTGGAAAAACTTAAAAATAACAATCCTTCACCGGTTACTATTAATCCTGAAATAGAGAGATGTCGTATAAAATTAATGACGATTGAAAGTAGATCCTTTTATCATTCTAGGACTATAAATAAGTTTTATCATGTGACAACAAATAACTCAGTAAAGAATTATTGGACCATAAGGATATATTGAAGGACAATCATTGGTTACAATCCAATTTTCTTATTAATGAAACAGAAATCTTAATTTTTAAACCTAATTACACTTATGCATTGGTGCATTTCCATGCAGTGTTAAATTTTGTCTTCTCTTTTTCAATTTTCAACTGTAAAGGGATCTTTATGCTTCAGGGCCTCAGTTAAATGTCCCATCCTAACTCCTTGATGCTTTTTCTCAGTTAGCCCCTCTGACTGTCATTACTGGCGCCAAAACTAGTTTGAAAAATCTGAGAGTATAATCTAAGTGATTTTTACCCTGCCTTTTAACTTTCAATTTGGGTCTAGGGTACGACAAATATTAACAGCCCCTAAAATAACGAGAATAAAATCAGTGTAACTTACCTATAAATAACCATAGAATAGAAAATAAATTAACAAAAAACATCATACTGTAGCCTTGAGTAGAATATTCAGATCTCATCTTATCTTGACTAGCTCCTGTTAGTCCATCTAGAGTTAGAGAAACTAGCTGGAAATATAAAATATATATACTCTATAATTATGATTATAACACACACCTTATTTTATTCTCAATTCTATTCTTAACCCTTTCAACCCTAGAGGTCTGTTTACCGGCCACACACTAACGCAATATAGGTCCGAGCAGGGGGTATACCGGGCGTTACTAAGTGACGTTATACAACGTTAACATCATACCCTTTTACTGATATTACTTGAAGTTCAGGGTATATGACGTTTTATTTCATTTACAATCAGTGTTCAAAGGGTTAAATTTATTTCTGTAAATTATGAAATGCTGCAGGATGATCTTACATTAGAAATTAGAAAGAGAGGGGATTGGACGATGAAATGATCCTTAGCTTCACATCTGTAACTACAAAATAATATATACTGTATGTATAATTATGAAATTTAACGCCCACATAATGTTAATTTCCTTATGTATATCAAGAAAAGCCTCTTTCTTTAGATAATGTAATACTGCAAGATTCAATCGTGTTATAAAACACATGTAAATAATACAGATCCAAAGAAAATCATGACTTACCAATAAAAATTCACCGATTCCAATTTCATGTTTATCAGATTTAGCCGCCTTATCATCTTTATACATAAATAACGCTACACCAAGTACAATCATCAATACAAATAAATATTTTACTAGTGGGTAACGTTTTCTAGCTATTAATACACCTAATATCATTACAGGTATAGGTTTTATAGTTTTACCTAGAACCTACAATATATATATACAGTAAATTATTAAATATGTGGATTTCAAATTGACAAACCCTTAAGACCAAATAACCAATACTAGGTAGCTACTATGAAAGCAGGGATGACAGTCAGTTAGTATGATATCTTTGCGTGATGTCATTTTCTTGCTGATGTCAAACAAATGGTGTTCTAATCTCGGTCAGCTTATGAAATGGGTACAGATAATTCTGGAAAGATCAATGCCAAGAGGTTTGGTCAAGGACCAGCTGGTCGAAAGGATCCTTAAGAATCTAAGTTGCTATCCTTGTCAAATCATTGCCCAAAGGTTCAACCAAGAACCAGCAGGGTTCAATGGATCCACGTGAATCTAAGTTGTTATCTTTCTCACCTGAGTAGGATAAGAGACGTGTTGTAAAGCGTGGTTACTGGCTAACATAGCACCTAGATACGTCAACGAACACGCTATATAATATTTAGTTGGCGTGGCGTCCACTTTTTTCTGCATATACTTTGTTCCTAAAAATACAATGAGATCACATCAGTTATCAACCATGTTGGTGCTTTTCATATTTCACGTTCACATTTCATCATAGACCAGATTGGGTCAGCTACATTTAAACAAGGAAGTGTCCAGGGGCATGTTCCTGAATTACTATGGATGTGGTTAGGAACTCAGGGACTTTGTAAACTAGGAATTTTAGGTTGTAACATTGTGCTTAAGTAATGTACCGAAAGCACAGGCACAGGCATGAAAGTCTAACCTCTAGTGAGAGAGTATTGTTTGTGGAGTTATTTAAATAAGAGGATACATGAAACTACAATGGATTAACTTTTATAAATGAGGGGTCTTATAAAGTAAGTCAAGGCTATACACCGATTTTTATCATTAGTCACATTGAATGCGTTTTAAGAGTCATGCTTTTTACTTGTCATGTGCGTCTGATGTATTCAGCACGGTAAACTAGGAGACTGTGGTTTGATCAGGACAAAGATTGAGATAAAAACCTCCGGATTTTTCAACCTAGTTTCTCCAATGTCAATGATTCAAAAGTGCTGGACCAATGAAAATATGTCTAATAGTTTGGATCAGACAATCAATTGAAACTTGGGATAAATAGGGACGATGTCATGAAGTGTACAATGAGCAAAACTGCCTGACAATAAGATATAATAAGAATAAACTAACCTAAATATGCTGCAAGTACATTAACAATACACTGCACAAAAACCAACGATAACGTATAAACAAACTTCTCTCTTTCTTCTCCTTCTCCATACTTTCCTTTCGTTCTGAAAAATAAATTGTAATTTGTCTATTAACGACAAGCAAGGTTGTACTTCTTTCAATTTGTAATTGAAAATAGACTTTGTCCCGAGCAGGCGCAAGCTAAACAGAACAGCTCATAAATATCCTGGGGCCCCAATGCCCAACTGATTATCTCTTGTCATCAACCTAAAGTTAAATTTCTTATTAGGCATGGTTTTCAGTGATTTTGAAATCAAAAAATTTGACCAAAATATTCATCCATCTTTTTTTATTAGAATCAGATATTTAGGGTCCCTTGACATATTTGGGCCCCCTGGATGTAAGGGTTATCACTTTTTATTGGGGCGAACAATTGAATGGAAAATAAACATAATGTCAAAATCATGAAATAATTTCAACATAAATAATAAATGCAATTCAATTTAACGTTTATAAACCAAACCACGCTTGACTTTTTTAATTCAATATACTATTTAGAAGTTTAATAATGAATATTTAGATAGTAAATATAATAAGGCAGTACACCATGTAATTATAATCTAATAAGATTTGTTTCCACATGATTTCTGGCCATCAAAATCACACTGCTCTTTCAACGTTTAATGTACATTAACTATGTAGTTATCATGGAATATTTCAGAATGATTTAAAGGGACAGGTAGGCCATTTTTTTGACCAATCATACTTTAGTCTCAGAAACGGGAATTCTTTAGCTAAGCCTAACAGTAATAGTGTCACCGTCGAAATTTGAGCCTTCAAATCCATGTGTGTCCAGAATTAGCTGCCTTTGAATGTTAAAATGACGACTCGTCAATTTAAGATATTACTATGTGATATATAGAAAAGACATATATAGAAATAGTGAGTAAAATTCCTAGTTTGAAGTATTTTTAAAGGATTTATTGAATTTTCGTACATTTCTAATACCTCTAAAGACTATTTACATATATTGAAGACTAAATTCAATCCTCAAAAATGCACACCTGTAAAAGTGTAAAAATAAAAGTATAATCCATGCCATTTAAAAACCAAGTAAAACTCAGTAATAAAATATGGAGAATTGAATGTATAACACACCAAAATAGTTTCAAAGTAAAATAGCAAGTTTAGGTTCTGCTATCAAAATAAAACTGTAGCCATTAATACTGATGTACAATATTCATATTTAATACTGGAAATGTTTTAATATAAATCATATAATCAATATTTCTATAGTTAAGTGGCAAATCAAATAAAATAGTTTGATAATTGATGGGAAACTATACACATTGTCATTATTTAGTCACACAATTTAACCAGGGATGATTAACCTACATTTACCAGTCATGTCTGACTTAAGCTCAAGACTGATGATTTGACTGTATTTACCAGTCATGTCTGACTTAAGCTCAAGACTGATGATTTGACTGTATTTACCAGTCATATCGGACTAAATCTCTAGACTGTTGATTTGACCGTATTTACCAGTGATGTCAGACTAGAGCTCTAGACAGTTGATTTGACTGTATTTACCAGTGATGTCAGACTAGAGCTCTAGACTGTTGATATGGCTGTATTTACCAGTGATGTCTGACTAGAGCTCTAGACTGTTGATTTGACTGTCACTGTATTTAAAAATCATGCAGCCATGCCCAACTTAAAATCTTAGTATACACATTGATTGATTTCATAACAACTCAATTTCAGTTTATAAATCAAACTGTATAACTTATATCTTTGACTTTTTATTCACTTACACTTCTAAATTTGACTAAAATTGACGTTGATGAAGTGTAGTACCGTATGGTTAAAATTATGAAATATTGGGAGGAAGTTACAAAAGAAACATACTGACAGATAATCAATCTCTTTTATAAACAGTTGTAAAAGTAAAAACAGAAACATTAGCTTATACAACCACTAAACCATTGCCCTACAGCCATATTATAATCTAATAACTGGTTTAACCTTATAAACAGTGATTGTTGTTCCACAAAGATATTAGAATATTATAACAGAACCTGAAACATGTTGTTACTCAGAGATACACGCTGTGTGATCTTCAGACAACTAAAACAGAACCTGAAACATGTTGTTACTCAGAGTAACTCACACTGACCCTAACCCATATCTAACCCTACGTTTTAAACTTTGTAAACAGTAATAGATTGTAGACAAGATGCCCTGTATAGTACATCATCTCACAACTGATCATTTCATCTTAATGATTTTTTAATCTTATTGGCCAGGATTTAATTGTTGTTTCATTTCCAATCTAAAGACAGAAATTCTTATTTTTATGAATTAACATCCAATAGAATGAGTCTTACATGAAAGAGAGTGTTGAAACCCAATATTCTGTTTAGTCTAATTTTTCAACCGGGTTTCTCCCTATCAGTGATGCAAGTTAGAGGGGCTGACATGAAAAAAGCATCTATTCCTTCAGATGTGATCAAAATGTGTGGCCATGTGTGCTATACGACAGGCTGTACACATTTAAAAGATCCCGCGACAGTTGGATACTGCATGGTGTTACCTATCTTCATTAGGCTAAACAGGCACAGAAAAAAAGGATGTAAAACTCCATTTCATTTCATGTATACAACAGCTTTGATAGAAACATAAACTAAATGATGTGAAACAAACACTAATTGTTCAATTACCTTCAATTATAAAACTGGCCACAGGTGGCAAATCTCATATTTATTTAAACTGTTCCTTTGTTTATTGGTCATTATCAAAATATATTTGATAGTTATTATTAACTAGAGTTAATGGGGCATTCTACAACATAACATTTCCCTTACATTGATTTGCTGTTGGTCCAAATACAGGAGATTTTAGTCACAGATTCATTTAGATTAAAGGAATTGTAAAGAAGTTTTCTAAACTTTTTATGTATATCTGGGACTCTGATAGCATCAATTTCTTGCAATTCCACTAAAACTAACATGTTTTATGACTTCACGAGAGGGGAACTGCATAGATATCAATAGTAGCTTCAAGAAGCTATCAGTGTCCCGGATGCGCATACAAAATTTAGAAAACCTCTTTACTATCCCTTTAAGTTCAGTTTCAGGAGAAATTGTAATTTGGTTTATGAATGGTTTACAAACAAATACAAACGTCTTAAACATGTCCTAAATTATATAAATTTCTGCTAACATAGTAAAATCATTTAAAAAAAATCTGATTCTTCAGTTATAATCCTGTAGATAACAATATTCAAATAATAACAATCTTAATGTTTCAAATATTTCAATTAAATTGGGGACAAACTACATTTTAAAGACTAGAGATATATATATACATTTTACTTCTTCAACTAACTTTAACAGTATTTTCATTGTGAAAAGTTTGAAGTTAATGGACTGCACAATACAAGATTTGAGTCTGTTTTAAAAGAAACTGGGTGTGTCTGTTTAGAAATTAAACTGATTATAAGGGTTCTATTTTTGGAGAGGTGAGAATTGGGGCAAATTTTAATCAAGATGAGGCCACTAGCTTGAGCACAATTTAGTTTTTCTTCAATGAAAGGAAGGACTTTCATTGGAATTTTGTCAGAACTGTGCAAATAAAGTCTCAGTGTGTCTCTGAAACACATATAAATGCTAAACCTACAAAAGCTAGAATGGTATGTATTGAAGATTTAAGTGTCCCTGATAAGATATTAAAAAGCTAGGAACTCTTTGTTGAAATCCTTTGGGAGTAAAATCAGAAATGTGCAAATACAGTCTCAGAGTGTCTCTGAAACACATAAAGACTAAACCTACAAAAGCTAGAACGGTGTGTAAGAGTATACAAGATTTCAGTGTCCCTGATATATATCAAAAACCTCTATTGAAATCCTCTAACATAAGAGTAATAATAAATCATGATAACATTCAGTCAGGTGTAAAATGAAATACAAATTGAAACAGATTGCAGTAATAGGATATTAAATTTTGATGTAAAAAGATGACATGGTATACAGGTATATTCGCTTTCAGTAAGTAACTTTATAATGTTCTATTTTTAAGCCGATATCCACTTGAAAATAATCAGAAAAATATTTTGTTTAACAACAAAAGTTAGCTCTTTCAGAGAGTATTAAACAGATGCATGCTCCCTGGGCCTGAAGCCAATAAAATCTGATTTACAAAACTTAAGAAGTACCAGTACCGGTATGGTAAGTTGTATTAGACCTATTTAGCGTCATGTAACTCAGGAGCTCGAAATGTTGATGGTTCTCAATTGTCATTCATATCAAACTTAACCTGTCCTCACCAAGATGCTATGAATATTCTAATTCTCCAACACAAAATAAAACAACTCTTAAACTTTTACTATGAATAATGATGAAATAACACAAATAATCACAGATCACAGGCATTAATCTCAGATAAAATTATGTAGACCAGTAGATGACTGGCTGTCCAATTTTTTTTTTTAATACTGAATATTATTACTATGGGTATTAAAGATCAGCTTCAAAATAGCAAGCACTTTCTTTGCACTATCATCGGATTCTTTTGTGATTTGGTGAATTACTTTTTACATGTTATTGATATATCATAGATAAATTGCAGACCATTGTTTACTACCAGTCCAATGCCAGTGTAAACATAACACCAATATGCCACAACTGTCACAGAAACAACAACGTTCATCACTTAAAAATAACACCGGGTACTTACATTTTTTCTTGTAAAATGCCATAATAAAAATAACAAACAAAAATTCCAATGGCACAGACAATCAACTTCTTATTGACACCCATCATCTTGTCGCCCGCTTTAATGTCGTTCTGTGCGCCTCGTGTTTCCAGTTCTACAACGGTCGCGTTCTTATCGACGACGGCTGACATAGATTATTTCCGTCGAAGACGTACCAGATGTTGATTTGCCGAGGATCATTCGATAACTACGACGTGTCACCATTTCCAAGTTCGTCTTTATCGCCGGAAGTTTACCTGTCACAATTTCTAGCAATTTCATTGGTTGAAATAATGAATTTAAGAAATCCTCACAAGGTGGCGTAACACCTTTCTGGGAAAATCTTCTGACGTAGAAAAGAAATTCCCGTTTACTGACTTAGGAGGTTATTCGTGAGGTCACTGATGGAATCCCCATAGGTGGCGCGGTTTGTCGAGGGATACCCCTAAGAGATCTTGGCAAAATGGTATAAGGTTTTATAAGAGATACTCTCTTATAGAAGCACTGGCCTAGGTCACACAGATCTTTGACAATATAATGAATATGGCTAGAAATTCTTTGCAACAAGCTAAAAAACTCTTACGGAAGGAAATGAAGGCGAAGCTGTCAGAAATGACAGAAGCAGCCAAAGTAACAGAATCTGGCCATGTTGTAGCTGATGCTCTTTCACACGAATTTTACGTTCAGAGTCAGAGAGTTTCCATCTTTTTAAGTATGGCAGACGAAATCCACACAGGAGCAATAGTGAAGGACCTGTTGTATCAGCAGAAAATGTGTTTCATTCCGTATTACCATGGCCCAGAAATGGCTATGTTGGAATTGAAGTCCATGGAAGATTTGAAAAACTTACCAGAAACAAAATGGAAAATAAAACAACCTGCAAGTAAAGAAGGTAGACTGGATGCCCTGAAATCAGGAGGGTTGGATTTAGTTTTCGTCCCTGGATTAGCTTTTACGAAGTCTGGTGCACGACTTGGACGTGGCAAAGGATACTATGACAAATTTCTCAAAGAATGTGAGAAAATGGGACAGAAACCAAAAACTTTAGGATTAGCTTTTCAGGCACAGATGTGTGAAGAAGTACCAACATCTGAAGACGATGTGTTCTTAGATGAAGTTATTCACATGTAATTTTTGTTTTATGTTCTGAAGTTTCTTGTTTGACCAGCTTTGAGAAGGTTGACCTTGTTGAGTTTGAAGAATTTTATAGTTTTGTTTCTGTTAATGTGCTAAATGTTCGTTTTGTTAATTTTGAATATAATCCCAATTGTCTCTCCGTGTGATGGAGACCTTACTCTATAATCCAGTTTTAACTAATGATGATTGATGATGTAAACATAAATATTTCCAGGACAGCAACAAGAGCCCCTTATTTTTTAACTGTCAAGGGATCTTTCTCATGCACAAGTTGCAGTGCACAGGGCCATTGGTTCATTGACAGTTACTCTCCATGGCACGTGTCATATTAAGGATAGACTCTTCAGTTGTTTTAAGGATATTGACCTCTCAATCACTATAGTCACTCTCAGACTAATTCTTCTGCATGGCACAGTCCAACAATCTAGTTTTTATTTTGATGAATCTGGCTTTGTTCTCTCAACCATTTAGTTTAATACATTTTTTATATTTGAAGCAATACTGATACAACTTTTTGTATTTTTGTATAAGTATATTAATTTGTACTGCTGTATAATATGTATTCCTTGAGAAAGGCTGATCAGTGCATTTCCTTTATCCTTTTACTTGTTAATCAAAAAATAAAACAAAAAAGTTTTATAAATAATTTTTATTCTTTTATTTTTAAATTTGATTTCACATACATACAACAGAATGACTTCAGTCTGGTCTTAAACATACAAATAAATTTCTGATAGCCTTGAGTGGGTAAGGGCTGGGGAGTAGGGCACTGTTAGGGTCTTAGGGTGGGTGATATACCGGTATCACATGTCACCAGGGTGGTTCAATACCTTGTAAGAAGAATACTACAAATCTGTATTTCTCAAGGTCACAAAGCCGTGTTCAGCCTTTAAAATTTGCCGATATTAATGTCATTTTTCCCAATTTATTTCAACACAATTCTTGATACTAAGTAGCTCAAGTTTTCAGTTTCCCATCTTTGTTTCGGTCCCTATTCCCTGCACCAAGCCCTTAATTTCATCCTTTAATATCTTACAGTGTATTGGTGGGAAACTGACTGAGAAAGGCATTTTAAGTCTTTCCTTAAAAATATTTTGAATAGATGAAATGCAAGACTAGCGTGTAGATCAACCTTGAAATGGTTTGAAATGCTGTATCAAATATATTGGCCAATGAAAAAGTAGTAACGATTTAATATTGACCAATCAAAATAGGGTTTTCTAGGCTATTAACATAAAATTTTCACAGAAAAAGTTTAAGTTACAATGAACAAGGAAAAAAAAAAATGAAATGATCGTGGAAATTTTTAGCAAAATTATCTTTTCAATTAAAGCTATTTTTTTTTTTTCGTTTTTGCCGTCACCCATACATTCTATCAAAAGCATTGGAAAATCAAGCTTCATTTCTGCTGAAATAGTAGAGTATCCTCCCCTGACTAAGAAATAAATAAAATTTACAACTATATCTAATCTATCATTAACACGAATCACAAATGACCCTGTGTTCAAAAAGTTTCGAAGCCTTATTACAGTTCTGTCTACTGAAAGAGTCACTTTGTAATGTAAAGTGACTCAAGGCGCGACAAACATTTTGTGAATATTGTTTTGAAAAACAGACATCGGAACGCAGGGCAATTATGCACATGTACACCTTTGAACAAATCTTAAGGGGAGTAACTCCATTTAATGACGCCATATAATCTATAATGTACAGTTGCATGTCATGAGCAAAATGTTTTGAAAAAATGCAGTTTCATTATATACAATTTAACTCTTTTTTTTTTTGCAGTTTTTACTTTCACTTTCTGCATTCTTGCAACGTAAGTTCGTTGTCACATGACTTAAATCATCCGATCAAAAACAAACACTAACAATAATGGTTTAAACTACACTGAATGAAGGTTTTGAATCTTAATTAAATTTATACGATCTAGTTATATTTATGTCAACAATAAACGCGTCAAAAGTTTTTTGAGAAATATGTTCAGTGTAGGCAACCAATCAAAACAATTCTGAGTCTTAATGAATATGCATTCCTAAACAAATTGTATAAATGACTGGCGAAAGATTGATGAAATATGATGTTGGACGAGGTAAGTTCAGTAAAACTAAAATAATAACATTCCCATGCCACCCATTTCACCCTGTTCTTTAACGAAAATTTCAAAATATTGATAAATATTGGTTACAGCTAATAAAATACCAGTTCCACTACCGATAGCACCTGTAATATAGAAAATAATATTGTAATGGAGCAAACAAAATGGTAAAAAGACAAAAACATTTAAAGGTAATCTTAGTAATTCAAATGGAGTTAAATGTTTGATTTTTACACCAACTTTTTTGGCTAATAATTATATGCAACACCATGCAGTGTGTAGAGGACTATATGCCATGACTTTTCAATCTTAAGGTGCACACAGAGCCTCAGTTTATTGTCCATGTGAAAGTCCCTCCTCTGTTCCAGACCTTCCAACCTCCATCACTGACAGAGCAAAATAGGCCGAACAATTGGAAGACACTCTCCAACATTCCAGAAGTGAATCTTGATTCAAAATGTTAATCAGCCAACAAGCTAGTACAAGAAATAGAGTTCACCCTTACCCATAAAGTCAGCCATGACAGAGAGAGCTCCGATACAGAGACCACCGAAAGCTGCAGCAGTTGGAATATAACGGTTTAATTCTTTAATCATAGAACGATCACGATGTCCTCTCATTACCATCTGCTGTTCTTTAAGTTGTTTAGCAACCTATAATAAAAACATAGTACATTAGGACAAAAAACAACATGGGATATTACATCTTTAACAGAAATTTTGACAGGACCACAGCATAAGTATATTCTATTTGGATTTGAAACTGTTAAGGAATCTTTAATGAAGCGAATGGAGACTTTATTTTTGGAATTTGGGACAGGCAAATTACAGTTTAATCAAGTCACATTTCAATCTTAACACTTCTATTACATATCTAAATAGTTTGTTAAGTTTAGGTTCTGGGACTCAAAGAAAACACAGAAAAAAAAACATTTCGCAAACAACAATACTGGAACAGGAAATCTGCCGAAATTTACGAATATACTGACTCTCTCTATTCTACACATGCTCCTCCAGCTTTTGTTGTTGAATAAAATAAATACTTACATCTTTAGCACTGGAACCCGATACATCAATCCAGGTCTTGGAGAAGAAAGCACATGATCCTAACATAAAGGCAATGTATAGAACAGCATGTATAGGATCTTCTGCTACATGGGAGAGTGTTTCTGGTGGAGACATATAGTAACACAACCCACTGACAGGGTAAGATCGGGCAGGTCCTCCACCCCCAACGTCCTGTAATAATAAAATTAAAATTTATTTTAAAATTTCTCAATAAAATTAATAATTATCTCTTTGAATCAAGGACAATTAAACTCCTCTTATACTGCTGACATGCGTTTCAGATACACTGTCCTCATCAGGGAAATGAACAGTATTTTAAAGCTATAGTTTAACTCATGGCGTCAACATGTGCTTTGGATCTAAAATCTACATTAAGACAGTGTGTTTAGAAACTTTCTAATAGTAAGCTAACTCTCTGAATAGGCTTATTTATCAATATAAACTACTTATTACCCTCATACAAATAATACTAGATATGCCGAACACAAACTTCTTTCTCAACTATACACATCAATAGTCAATAAATATCAAGGAAACAACGTAAAAAATTTAACGTTATACTTACAGCCCAGACACCGAGTAAATTGACGAAGAAATTTCCACCAAACTTCGTGGCTAACATCTGAGATATGACGTATAAATTAGACACCAAAGCAGACTGAAGGATGATGGGAATATTAGAGGTGTAGAATAATTTGATTGGATACGATGTGAATTGACCTCGATAACGTGCAGACTTGATTGGTAGATCCACTCGGAATCCCTGAAATACAACAAAATTCAATTAGTATGCCAATATATACAAACAAAACTTGGAACCAAAAACTTGGAATTAGAGTCTTATAAGCATGAGTCCCTTCTTTCAAGAATAAGGCCTCTTTTTTTAAATGAATTTATAAATATTACACTGAGAAATACCATACCAAAGTGAAAATACATGGCAAGATTTTAAATTAAACACAACCCAAGCTTGCGAATAAAAACTAGAACACGATAACTTACCTGGAAGTAAATGACTATACCAAACACGAAAATAGTGGCAGTTAAATTCATCAAATTGGGTAAATTCTGTCTGTAGAAAGCTTCACGTAAACCTCGTACTTTATCTGATCTGGTGGCCAGAAGATGGAAGAGAGCAATAATAGCTCCTTCAAACTCAGTTCCTATAAAACAGAATGATCAAAAATGAATAAATTTTATGAAGTTTTATGTCCTTCTTTTCTGCAACTGATTAGGCTATTGAAGGACAACACCATGCAGTGTGCTGTAATGGAAAATTTACCAGGATAACTGCATAATCTTATTCAAAGATTCTTAAATTCTATAGATCTATAAGAATACTGTAGGCCTAAGTTTCTATGCATAAATTGACTTCTTCAACTTCAATTGCCATGATTTAGATTATCAGTATTAGGTTCAGCATTTACGACTATTGAAAAGTTGTATTCAGTTAAAATTCGCAAAGAAAGGAAAGTATTTCAAAATCATTAGTTTAACTTACCTCTACCAGTGTTGACAGTGGCAGGACTGAAAGCTTTCCATACAATAGTCTCACAGATATTGGTGGTAATAAACAATGAAATACCAGAACCTAAACCATAACCTTTCTGTAACAATTCGTCTAATAACAACACTATTAAACCTGCTACAAATAACTGAAAATAGAAAACACATTCCATTGTAACTTTAATTGGCACGGGTCACTTTAAATTTACTTAATTTCCTGTAAACCATATTGGTATTAAATTTGGTCCTCTCTGTCACTCCTTATTGTTATACAGTAGTATGGTCCTAATGCCCTTTGTGACTTTTTATTTCAAATCTATGTTAAAAGTTAGGTTTGAATAAAGCACTAGATGACTGGAAATACCATGTTTCAATTTCAAATCTTATCAGTTTTCAGTTTTAAGTTTCATGTATTGAGCTTCATGGTCTATTACTTTCGATTCCAATCTTCAATAAATCGATTAATAAGATAAATAAGTAGTACCAACCTGAATAATAATAAGTAAGCAAACACCGGCTCCGATATCAGCTGGATCACCATACATACCGGTCATAACATAAACTATAGCTTGACCCACAGTGATAACCATACCAAATACTGAAATTTACAAATAACAGGGTTTTTACATGGGTCTAAAATTCAAGTATCGACTTCAAATATTCAATTATTTAAATAGAAAAGATTGAAAGAAAACATCTTGACAACTTTTAAATGAAGAATCCAACCCCACAGCAAGACCACAATCTAACTCACTCGAGCCATTCCATTCCTAAGATCTACCTTCATTTCCATGCACCGAATAATTATCACTGACAAATCATCTTGTTATTTGATCAATTATAAAAGTATTACAAAAGTTATACTTACATTTTTGAGCACCATTAAAAAGAGCTCTGTCTTTTGGTGTGTCACCTACTTCAATAATCTTAGCACCAGCTAACAGTTGCATAATTAAACCAGAGGTAACGATAGGTGAAATACCCAACTCCATTAAGGTACCTGAAACACAAATACATTCACATTAGTGGGCCATATTTCATACAAATTTAGTATAATATCATTTTATCAGTCTCTTGCATAATGCTTTCATCACAAGCCGTAAGTTGTTGGCCTAGACCAATACTCTAATGAGATCATTAGTGGGCCATATTTCATACAAATTTAGTATATCATTTTATCAGTCTTTAGTTGTTGACCTAGGCTAGCACTCTCATGAGAACATTAAGTCCTAAATCACAGTCAAATAGGCTAAACTTTAAACATGAACATTCAAAGTACAGAGCATAAACAATTCTTGCACAATAATTATTAAACCACAGCCTACCTCTGTTACTGGCCAGAATAACACGAATCCAGTAGAAAGGATCCGCTGAATCTGAGGACATGATACCAAATAATGGAATCTGGAAAAAAAATAAACATGAGAATAGATATAAATGGAGATTTTGAAAGTTTTTAGTTAAAAATTTTTATATCCTTCTCTGTACATCAGATTTGTTGGATTACAATCAAAATGGACAAAATCACAACAAAGTTTAGAGAAGAGGGAATTTTGTCAAAAAATTTAAACACTTTTAATACAATATGAAAATAACAAAAACAAAAAAATAAAGATTACTGTACCTGACAACAAACTAAAAAGATAAATAATGTGATAGCTGTCCATAATATCTTCTCTCGAAACTGGATCTAAAAATACAAATTACTCCAACTTCAAACTACAGATTAGGTAATAGGGGTTGGAAGACAAAAGGACTGGTCATGGCATCAAAATTTTATACCTTAATGTGGACCCACAGCAGACAAAAATCTTACATGTAACCCATGGGGATATTCCACTGCCACAATGAAAGGAAATGAATGGAGTTTTACGTCCTAGCACCTTGTGGGCTTATGAAGACCGGCTGCCACGAAGATTCAATTAAAGATTTATTCAAGTTATCTCTTATATATGTAATTTTCATGAAATTCAGGTCAGCCATGCTTTCTATTTACAAAAGATCAATCAGTGTTTCCGGGATGAAATCAACTTGATTTACATCATGTTTTAAATGAAAACGTAAATTCAATGAAGGATGAAATTTGTTACCTTTCTGTCTGGTTTTGATACTTCAGGTAAAACCGCACAAAACGGTTTTACAAACTCCAAAAACTTTACTGAAAAATAAAGAAACTTTGTTACAAAATGTGATTAAGGGCACGATAAAGTTTGCTTAAAAAAATGCCACAAATCATGTCAAGCAATTCAAAATAAATCTGAAAATATCCTACAGATTCACAAACTGAATATACTTTAGTGAAGAGGTGAATTTTTAGAATGGACATGATAACATTTTGTGATGTAATACTGAGCTAATGTCTAGCTAGGTACGTACAGTGTCGGTCAATGTTCTAGTTGATTCTATTATAGAAAAATTCTATTTCTTCATTGCCTTACACCATGATTATTGAGGTTTCAATCTTAATAAAATTTGTGAATCCATGATCAAGATAGGTTCTAGATATGATTGAGTAACTAGGGGCCATTTAAAGTTCCAGAAAGAAAATGAATGATGAAATTTAATAGTTTTTGATAAAACATCTGGATAGTCAAAAAAAGAAACAGATTCAAAATTAATCCATTTTTCACCACTCAAATAATAAAGCTTGTTTTGGAATATGAGTTAAAGACCAATCTTAACTATAACATCAAATTCCAGTCTGCTTTAACAACTTTCTAAGTTTGGTTGGTTGCATAAAAGTTGGCAAAACGCAGACACCATCCCATATTGGATTAAAGTCCAGCAAAAACATTCGCTTTAAAGCAATCCTACCCAAATCTAAAGAAACAAAATCATTCTACTTACTCCCCATGATTAATTTTTGGCGTCTGCAATGTGGAAATTGTCAGATCGCCCAACTTCTAAAGAAATTTTGTTGTAAAAGGAAGCCGACAAGAATTTCTACGTAGCACCAACTTCGCCACGTCCTGTGTAAAGGGTTAATCACGTGACCAGCATTAACTAGCGTCGTTTTAAAAATCCTTTAAAACTGTTGAAATTCAAGGTCCCATGATGTGAATGGCTTCAGTTTTAGTCCTAAAATGACTTTAATTTTAATTAATTTGAGAAAAATTAAGGGTTTTTCATGGTTCGGTTGTTTCCGTATGTGACGTCACATGCCACGTAGCAGGGCGGATGTAAAAATAGATTGAGGCCACGCCTACTGGAAGCCACGCCTACTTGACATGTAAACAGAAGCACATTGCTGATTTGGCAAATCTTATTGAACTAAAGGATTAACCTAAATCATATCAAAAGATTAATGGCGATTTATTGTCCTTTTTTGGCTTTTCCCCAAAATATAAACCTTATCAAAATGGCGATTTTCTGTAGATTATTCTGCTCCATTTCTGTCAGTGTCTATAATTTTATGACAGTCTGAATTTATGAACAAGGAAGAAACTAAAAAAAAGACAATCCCCCAAAAATATGAATGTATATTGGACACATGGCTTTAAATACATGACCTAAAAGAGTGAATAATAACAAAAAAAACCTCTCTTTACTTATGACCTTGGCCAGTGCTTATATGAGATTTTATGAATGCCATTTCTTAATACCAAATTATTAGTTATGTTAATATTAGTTGATGTACGTTGCTAGTAAATAACTTGAACTTATTTGAATATTGATCAAATTTACAGTAAACTATAAGAGATAACTTGATATCAAATTGAAATATCCTACTTTTGTGGACTCTCTAAACCAAGACTCTTATATTGTGTAAGAAATCTATTAACTATGTGGATCCTCTTAAAGGAATTGGAAGTATATTTAGTTTCATTTAATCCCAAACATAGATACTTATTAAAATGTAGAAAAAGTATTAAAAATTTACTATCCATAAATAAAGTGTTGTGTGCCCCTATTATAACAGTTTGTATTGTAAGGGGTTTATTATCCCCCCTGGGTTACTATTGTCACCCCAATTACCCCAGGCCCCTACCGTCTACCTTTGACCTCTATTGTCTAGCCCCACCCTCAGGCTATGTTACCATTATAATTCATCATTTACCTTTCAACTCAAGTATTGAACCTGACTTACAAAACATACTGTGTTTTATTTAACTGTGTTCACTGGGCAATGACGTATTTAGAGATCATTTACAAAACTTAGTATTAAGACTACAGAAGTTCCAAAAATCTCCTTAGCAAAGCACTGGCCAAGGTCATAAATAAAGAGATCTGCAAGATATGAACTAGGGTAGGGTGCATATTAATATACTACATAAATACAACCAATGTGAACTCTCTGAAATTGAAATACCAATATTGTACATTATTTGGTATGTGGACCCTCTGAAAGCAATCCTCAATTTTCTAAACAAGGGGGTTACAATTCCAAATAGTTGCAATCTTAATCATGATCTTCATTTTAGGTTTATGTACGCATCTTTTTCAAAATGGTCTAGAACTCTCTACAGTTAACAATGAAATATGCACAGACGGACATAGGTGACGCAATCATCTTTCAGCAATCCACACTTCTATAGAAATAAACAATATAACAAAACAACCTAATTATACCTACATATAGATCCACCCTTCATCAAGAGAAAAATAAACAAACTTCAACAATTGATATTATTTTAAAACGATAAATTTTATTTTTGTTTGTTTGTTAACAATTCATAAAGGATGAGTTTTTACAGAAAATTAACAAATACAATAGACAATAACAAACATATACTAACAAATTATATATATCTCATTAAAATACACATACAAATATTATGTTTCATTTAGTTTCTGAGGGTTACTTTTAACTAGGTAACTTTCTGTCAATCTGATTAAAATACAGCTCCAGATATTTTATTTCATTTATTTTCTGAGGGTAACTTCACTCAATCTGATTAAAATAAAGCTCTAGATATTTTTGTTTCATTTATTTTCTGAGGGTAACTCTCAATCTGATCCAACTACAGCTCTGGATATTAAGTTATTTGTTGTGATTATATCTGTGTACAAAACAAAATTTGCAGAGTTCACAATATACATCTATATAAATATTTAGTTTCAGTAAAACTGGACATGTGCAAGATTTTCTGTGCATTTACAATTGATGACTGAAATTATTGTTAAAGATATGAATGAACTTACAGAGTGAATGATTGAAAACATCAAAATGAGCTGGTTGTTTTATTTATTAGTAGTAATGAACACAATATAGGTATAGCTTCAAGAACTCTGTTTTCTACCTCACAATAAAGTTTACTGCTTGTGTTTATGTTTTGAATAATACAACAGAAAGCTTGCTACATTACAAAGGAGACAAAACTATGTGAAGAAAAATGAAACAAAATTGCTGTAAATTGAACATCCAACAAACTATCTCCAAGTAAAGTAGTCTATTTCAGTTTATATATAAATATCTAAGACAGGAATAAACTAATTTCATTTAATTAATATTTCAACCATAAATATATATAAGAACAATTAAAATAGTTCAGCTGCCATTTCTTTATCATGTCTTATAACTCCAGATTTTTAGTGGTCTTTTTCTTATTCTTGTTTACATGTTAATGACTATTTTGGCTTCAATTTGTAGAATTCTGATTTTCCAGACAATTATAGAAGTTTCAAAATTCCAGGAAAACTGAAAACCAAATGATGATTTAAATGATATCTGTGATAGTTAAGTAATCATAAGTTAAAGGTTTTCTGGAATTACCACACAGTAAATTTGAGTTGTACAAATTGAGCCTTAATCTGTACTGTGTTTACATAAACAGATTAAAAACTTTATTAGATAAGAATCCCTTGAATTTAAGGGGGTTTAAGGCTGACATTGCCAGAAAACAATTCCTCAAATCTTCTGAGCTACCCCCGGCCTTGAAAATTAAATTTTTTTTAAATCCCTTCATTAGTTTAACAATTTATAATTATACAGTGTAAAACATATTAACAAATAACATAAATGCAATAGTGTAAAATTTAAATTGTAACATTGTTATACCAAGTTATAATGTAACATTGTTATACCAAGTTATAATGTAACATTGTTATACCAAGTTATAATGTAACATTGTTATACCAAGTTATAATGTAACATTGTTATACCAAGTTATAATGTAACATTGTTATACCAAGTTATAATGCAACATTGTTATACCAAGTTATAATGCAACATTGTTATACCAAGTTATAATGTAACATTGTTATACCAAGTTATAATGTAACATTGTTATACCAAGTTATAATTTAACATTATTATACCAAGTTATAATGTAACATTGTTATACCAAGTTATAATGTAACATTGTTATACCAAGTTATAATGTAACATTGTTTTATAATGTAACATTGTTATACCAAGTTATAATGTAACATTGTTATACCAAGTTATAATGTAACATTGTTATACCTAGTTTATAATATAACATTGTTATACCTAGTTTATAATATAACATTGTTATACCAAGTTATAATGTAACATTGTTATACCAAGTTATAATGCAACATTGTTATACCAAGTTATAATGTAACATTGTTATACCAAGTTATAGTGTAACATTGTTATACCAAGTTATAATGTAACATTGTTATACCAAGTTATAATGTAACATTGTTATACCAAGTTATAATGTAACATTGTTATACCAAGTTATAATGTAACATTGTTATACCTAGTTTATAATATAACATTGTTATACCAAGTTATAATTTAACATTGTAACATTGTTATACAATGTTTTAAAGACAGATAATGACAATTTGACATATATAAGAAATATAATATTGGTCTACATTAAAATCTTTATAACCCAATTACATGCAGAAAAATGGGATGTAAAACTCCATTAATTTCATTACATTAAAATCAAAACTTTCAATTAAGACCTGATTTTTTTTAAATGGAAAATAGAATTACATGTAAAAAGGTCAATTTTGAGACATCCCATGATTCTATGTGACGCTATTCTTCATTCCAATTCACACACCCTGAAAAAACACCCTAACAATTCTGTTAATCAAAATCTCATCCAATCTTTTCCTGTGGGACACCAACCACATTTTTATTCCTTAATTTTATATGACCAATCAGAAACAACCTGACCAAATGATCCAACCATACATGATGCAGTATTTTCAACCTGGCCAATCAACATGCTTCAACATTCATATTATTTAGTAAATACTAACACATGAAATGAAAAATTAGAATTGACCATCACTTTAAGATAAGAAAATAATTAATCCAAATTATAAATTTACAGTTAATTAGAATGATTACGTCAAACACCGGTAAGTCGAAAAAATACAATGGGGACGTGAACTCTGATAAAATTTGGAGAAAACAACATCAAATGTTAGATAAATGCTTTTCAAACTTGTACAGATTCCATGGGGAACACAAATATCAAATAACTTTCTAAATGAGACGTGGAGTTGACCTGACAAACCCAGTAGGGGACATCAGTCCATGTATTTTCGAAACGATTTTAGATGATCTAAGCTCTAGGATGTCCTGGCCACGTTTTCTTGAAACAATCTTAGCTCTAGGATGTGCAGCACACTTATTCTTGAAACGATCTTAGCTCTACGATGTCCTTGAGAGATACCTTAGCACTACAATGTCCTAGAGAGATGATCTGTTAGTGTTAGAAGTTAAGAACCCAGGGCCGCGTATTCACGAAACGATCTTAACACTAGGATATTCTTGGGTCTTAACTTCTATCACTGATTCTTTCAATAATATATGGCAAAGACAACTCAGCGCTAGGATTGTTTCAAGAATATGTGGCCTGATATTTAAAGATGCAGCAATACAATAAACAAAGAGAAGTATATGGAAGGAATGCAAAAAGTTTTAAAAGAGCAGTCAAAATAGACAAGACAAAGGCTAAATATTAGTGTTACAGCTCTACGGGAGGCCTTGTTAACATTATTAAGTATGTGAACTCTCTGATACAAATACAAAGTACAAACACCAAATAACTTTATAAGTTTGAAGGACAGGGATGCCTAATTTGTGGCAACAAAAGTTAATCAGGCAGAAGACCATGAGTAGTCTTGATACATTTGATTGTATCCTTTAACAGAATAACTATTGCTCTTTAATTTTAATGCTTTAAAATCTTTTTTAATGTTTCAATATCTCATCTTACATGTTTGACACTGACACACCCATTTCTTAAAATGAACTCTTCCAAAACTATTATATTGATTGAGAAATGCATGTGTGGAACAGTTCAATAAATGGTGGAGGGGTGTCAAATACTTGAATGGTGCACAATATGTAGCAGTATCATTAGTATAACTTGAGTTACTATTCTTCTCTGTTGTCATATTATTACAGATAACTCTCGATTAAATCCAGACCACATTAAATAAAAACACCAATTACACATAGATAACCCTGTTTCTCTCAGACTACAGTTAAATAACTCTCGTCTCCACTGTCTTTAAAACAATATAAAATGTCTTTCCATGTAAATTATTCTATCAATTTTAACAAAATTTTATATTTATTGCCTTCATCATCTGAAATATAAAAAGGAATTGTCAGAAATTAGTTACAACTTCACAATACATCATCACGATTTTAATCTATTACGAATTTCGTCTTATACTGTGACTGCAATAACCACCTTTCTTGTATCACTGAATGCAGTGATTTGGTTGGTTTGTACGCTTGCAAATACAGCCTAGACATAAAGGCTGACAGGATCCTTGTGAACCTTAATTGTTATCCTTGTATCCTAATAACCAAATGGTTTGGTCAAGGACAAGCTGGTTAACAACTGAACCTTAAACACATGGTATGGAAATTGGTGTATTGAATTATAATTGTCCATGATGCTGGTGTGAAAATCGTTCTATATCAATAAATGACCTACCTTTCATACCCTCGACAGCAAACCGAGCCTGATCCTGTACATGCTGCATGTTTTGAACAACCTAAAATAAATATATAAATAAAAAAAAAATAAAGAGACCCACAAAGACTAATATAATGCTCTACTTTGGGTTTTAGGCTACCAAGAAACAGGTTCTACATAAAACATGTTTAATTGGTTAAAATAATATTATAAGAACCCGACTGTGGTAAAAAACTTGTCAGATTGCAATGGAGATCAAAAACATTACAAAAAAAATAAAATGAAATTGTACTTAAATTTATTCATCTCCAGTAAATCTAAACTTACCAACCCCTAACCTCCCACTCTGAACCCTACCCCCTAAACCTACCTCATTGGTGACCAATATATGTATGCCTGAAGGACCCTGTGTATAGATATCTCCTATATGATGAAGTTGAATTCCAAATAAGGCTGCTAATTTTGATGCCAGTTCTGAAACTGTCATCTGCTCTAAATATACTGCATGATAAACTGAAATAAATTGGAGAAAATGACTCTAAACTATGATCATTTGTGAGGTTTTGGTAAGAGGTGTTCTAAACTTCAATATATATCAGGGACATCAATTTGAACCATTCCAATTTTCAATCAGACGTCTGTGGTTCCTGCTAATTCAACTTAAGCCAAGCGTTTCATGAAGTAGCCATGACAAAGACCCTTGAACATTAAGTGTGATGGAAAGAAAAAACTGAAAGGACTTACTGGATTCTGATTCTTGACAAACATAAATAGTTAAACGTGGACGAACACTCCTATAATAAATAGATATAGTTAGTAAAATAACCAATCAAAACATCAGATCAAACATGCAGTGTGGTGATAGGAAAAGACGTTAGAACTTGGAGAAAAGTTGATATTCCAAGCTGATAGAGCTCAGTTTCAGTTATCTTCCAAGCAGTATAGATCCAGAATCTCTATAATAAAACACCAAGAGCGTTTTCTAATAAAATAAAGAAATAATGTAACTATACCGTGATTGTAAAGCGTTGTTTAATCGGATACCATCTGCTAAACCACAAATCTGTATCAAATCATCTCGTGTTAACCTCAATAAATCAGCACCTATTTATATTGATAGAAATATACAACATATCATTACGTTGCACACGAAGTTCTTACTCAAAATATAGAAATTAAGCCACATTTCTAAACCTGATACAGATTTCATAACTGAAACAGAGATGAGTGCAATTTTACTTTATTAAATCTCGATTGAACAAAATAAGTTCTTAATCAAGCCTTTATACGTAATAATATTCATATTTCAAAGACATAAAATTATAAAATCATGAGAAGCGTACCTGAGAAATTTTGAAATATTCGAACATAATGTGAAAAGCGATGATAATGTAGCCATTGTGTGACCTCTGCTGCAGTGGCGTCTCCTAGTAACGGCTGAAATATAATCACAATAGTCAAAATTCAAAACTACACAAGGTTTGAGGAATTGCCTCTTTGGGCCGGCAGTCGGATGAAGCAGCCAAAAACGAGTTGAATTGTCGTCTGCTAGAGCAGTTGGATAGCTCTATCAGAAGCAAGTTATATTGTTGTCTGCTAGAGCAGTTGAAAGTGATTGGGATATCTTCTGTTAGGAAGGGATTAGTTAGTCAGTAGCACAGATAGTAAGTTCGTTGTTTGTTGGATGGTTGAGTACTTTGGATTCAAATCCCTTCAATAAATCAACATGCTATCAAAATCATATTAATAGATAGTATAGAAATGTTTTACGTCCTGCTTTTCTGCAATAGAAAGTATAGAGGGAAGTAGTTCAATAGAATGTTCAGGGATGTCATGTAGATAACTGGTACAATATATACTGCCTTAAAGTCCCCCGATTTTATCGCTCAAAATGAATAATAACCATATCAGTAACTTACAATATTGACTATTTTAGCCGTATCATCACTAGATGACGACTGAACATGGTTGGTTGATGAGTTGTGAACAGGAGTTGATGAATTACTGTGACTGAGAGGTGTAATGGGGGTTGGAGGCGGGCTGAAATGATAAAATAATCACTAATAAACAGGTTTGTTATATTGCCCCGCCCTAATTACTGTGACTGAGAGGTGTAATGGGGGTTGGAGGCGGGCTGAAATGATAAAATAATCACTAATAAACAGGTTTGTTATATTGCCCCGCCCTAATTACTGTGACTGAGAGGTGTAATGGGGGTTGGAGGCGGGCTGAAATGATAAAATAATCACTAATAAACAGGTTTGTTATATTGCCCCGCCCTAATTACTGTGACTGAGAGGTGTAATGGGGGTTGGAGGCGGGCTGAAATGATAAAATAATCACTAATAAACAGTGCTGGTATATTGTCCCGCCCTAATTACTGTGACTGAGAGGAGTAATGGGGGTTGGAGGTGGGCTGAAATTATAAAATATAAAATCATTGTTCCTGCCAATTGACAGAAGATTTTAACCATCACTCCAACAAGCAACACTAAAAAACCATAGTTCAAATTAGTATAATCCTGAAGAAATTGCCAACCCAAAATTCTGTAAGAGGACCTAAATTCTCAGATGGGTTGCTCATTATTGTTTCTTAAGCAAAACAAGTCCTCTTGGAAAGTACCTTATCATTCTAAAAGCTATATAACATATATATTTTACATTATCTCTACCTTGAGAATATAAGGATGTACTTTCACTTTATAATTTTTAAACTATTTTTAGATTTTGACAATATAGTTGACTTACCTGCTTTTAATATGTCTCCAGTCTCCTGCCCCGGAAACATTGATACTTCCTCCACTGCCCGTGCTGCCGATACTACCTCGATGTTCTGATATACTCTCATCTGGGGATTTGATACCTAATGAATTCATAGATAATGATGATATTGATGTGTCGACTGGTATCTAAAAAAAAGACACAAGAGTAAAATCAAGGGAGGGAATAGAACTGGTCAGTGTCCGGTTTGAACCAGCGATACAGTGCGCGCATGGATATTTTTGTTGAAAAATTTTCTGAAAAGGAGCTACTTTCTGTATCTATCTCTCTATATATATATATATACTATTAAGTGTTAAAGAAATAATTTATGAAAGATCAAGATATGACATGAAAGATACAATAAGAATAATTTGCAAAGTATGTAACAGTATCCTTCTTTCAAGGGTTCTGTAACAAGCCCAATCTGAATCTGATTTGATCTCCAGCCATTATGTAAGCACCTTCTGACCGTTATGACACAGGTCAATCTGATATTAACAAAACTTACTTCTGTTAGGACAGTACATTCATACGAAGGCTGATATTTTTCTTTTTCTGATTCCGATCTCTTGTCCATTTTTTCTCGATCTGTTTTATGTTTTCTGTCAGCTCCTTTCGGCTGAAATAATAACGTCAGTATTTATATTTACTGGTTAATCAAGATAACAGGGGGGGATGGTGGACATGTCACAGCACCCAGGCACAAGGGGCTTTAGTCCTTAGCACCTCGCCACGGAGAGACACCTCTCATTCATATTTTGCCCCCTCAGACATTTTCTGATTACACTCCTGATGACAAGTCTCAAGTTCAGAAAAGTCAATGCCTATTTCTACTAGCTGTCTGATGAGTAAAGATGCCAGCAGCATGAAATGACCCCCTTATAAACGGCCCCTATAGATATAAAAAGGTTAAAAAATCTCATAAAAATCCCTTAAACACTTTCAATTCTTACCTTAAAAACTTTCACCTGACAGGAAGCTGAATGGAGTAATTTTTCTTCCTCTTCTTCGTGAGAAAAAGTATCGAGTTGAATTCGGAACGGGACACCTTTCTCTCCACCATGTTTTTTAGCAGTAAATTCAGTACTAATACAATGAACACGTATATAGATTCCCGTTGATTTGGTCGGATCCCAGATAAATTCTGCTTCGTTTAGTTTGATTGGATCTAAATTAACGTCTATTAAACCATAAGATAGGGGAATATCTGGAATATAGATTACAACAAGAATTATAAATCTTATTGTTTCCTAGAGATCTGGAAAATTGATTTGAAGGTAGAAGTTTTTATCCTTTTAATGATGTTCATGGAATAATAAGTTTGACAAACCTATATCTAAAAGACAAGTATTATTTAAAATGTAAACAGAATCTCAACAACTTGTTAAATGCTTATAAAAGAAAATAATTCTGACAAACCTATATCTAAAATGCGTTCCCCTGGTCTGTTCTGTTTCCACGTTTCTATCTGTTGTTTCTCCATATACTGTAACCTTCGCTCGTGAAAATGAACTCTAACTAAACTCTGAAATACAGAAAATTATAGCAATACATAAATAGTAGTCATATTTATTATAGGATGGCAAGAGATGGCCTGTAGATACATGTATATTGTTTGCGAGGCAATGTCCTTTGAAATATCTTTTTACAAGAGCCAGCAATGTACAAAATTGACTGGTGTCCATTGACTTGATGTCTTAGCATGGCTTTCTGATGACATTTTAACCATATTTTTCAACTACCAGCATGCCAAATCATTTCAATAGGATGGCCATCTATTCATAAATACGTTGTTAGCCAAGTTTGGTGTCAGTAGGGCCATCCATTTCAATTAAATGTCCTGTTATTTTTGATAAATATTCTATAAATATAAACAAGTTCTTGTTTGGTTCAGTCTAGGGAGTTTATAAGAAACCAAACCTTACCTTTAATAATTTTCCGTGAGAATTTGACAGATCTCCTAGTTTTTTTAATTTGATCTCGTATGATTGTCCTGCAAATATATTCTACTTTTAATTTCAATTCAAAACAATATCAGACCTCTCCTGGCCACCATATTCTGTTGTAATTCCGCATACAGAATGCACAGAGCCAAATCGATAGTCTCCACTTCAAAAATCTAGTCAGAGATGACTGGCAAATTAAACTGAATCAAAAACCGATCAGAGGTCGGCTGCAGAAATGTAGAATGTATAACTCCATTTCATTTAATTTTAATTAGCTCTATACACCAAACTTAATACTAATAGACATTATTCACGCGTCGGCCATATTGAATCCAGAATGAGGCTCATAACGCAAACCTTGAAAAGGTAACATTTTGTCACTTAATAAAATTACCACCTTGACGTCTTTAACGCCTCCTTCTCCAATCTCACCAACTCAAACTAATCATATTTTACATCATTAAAATCGAAATTTATTAAGCTATTTAATGATACTATCAGATGAATTTTACTGTTACATATTTCTGAGAAAGGGCAGTTTTAAGCCTATTTTCTTGCCGTTGAACAAGTGTCTAATGACGTTGAAAATCTTATCAATGGATAACATAATTCGCATAATGAACCTCGCTTTCAGTGTCTCAAAAACAAGCCGTGAATAAGGTCTATAGTTCCAATTATCTTAATGAAAATATTAGAACTGACCTTGATTGAGGTATGTGAGTGTTTCTTCATTCATTTTAACAGCAGGTGAGGTGGCAGCTCCCAGAATATACTGAAATCTACACAAAATATTCATTGATTATAACATTGTACTACTGTCTATTGAATTATATAGTCACTAAAATACATTCAACCAATTTTAATACAATATTTCTAAGAATGGACTGTCTATTTGCACCATCACACGATACGTGTTCTGTTAAGCTGCTAACAATGGTACGGTTAACATAAGACACAATAAACGCGCTAGTTTTGGGGTGTTTTTTCTATATAAGGCAAAGTCTCAAGAAAAGATGAAAGGTTAAAGAAAGTATCTGTTACTCACCCATTTTCAATATTTTCCTGTTTAAAGACTGGTAAAGCTAACAATGCCTCACTGAAATAAAATACATCTTCATTTAAATTGACATAATTAATATATTAATAGTCAATATTTCTTATGATATTGATGTAATCCTCTAGTGTTCTCGATCTACAGAAACCACAGCCTTCCGATGAAAAATAACGATAACATAAACACAGGCCTTATTCTCTAAAGAAATACAGTAATCTGATTGGATAATATATTAAAATTCAATTAAGTGATTTACCAATCAGATGAATTGGATATCGAAATCATCTAAAATTATGTTTTGAAGAATAAGACCTGTGATCTATTTTAAAAACAGGACTCGGGTTCCAAAAATGCAAACCTCATGTTGTAGCTAGACGTCCCTAATTCTGTTCCCAGCCCTGATAAAGATCCATCGAAATCAGCTGCTAGCCCAGCATCGATATCCCATGCTGATAAACTCGACGAATTCGTGTGTGAAATTTTCGTCCGCTTCCCAGCACCAGTTCCAGTCTCTTCTGTATTCCATAGTGATAAATGAGATACCAAGCTGAAATTATAATCACACAAGGGCATTAACTCTTGGTCCTATTACTGCAACATTCTCAAATTCAAACTAGGCTGTAGCTCATTTCATATTTAAGTATAAATATCCGGATGAGATACCAAGCTGAAATTCTATCTAAAGAAGGGAATTAACTCTTGTTCCGATTACTGACACATCCTCAAATTCAAACCAGCCTCAGCCTTTTGTCATCAAATCAGACATCAGATGAAATGCTAGTTTGCATTCTTTAGCTAATAAAAACCAAAGAAAAATAAACCAAGAATTCTATGATACTTCTTACTTCAGTTGATTCTTATTTAAAACTAGTGTTTTCATATTTGTTTCCACGAAGAGCTGATCTGTTTACACCAAAAAAAATCAAAATAAAATTGTAATAAATGAAAACTAAACCTGGTGTCATTCAAGATGTTATAGATCGAAAAATAATCTTTACGAACTAATGATGAAGTCTTTGGGGTAAATTCACACATTTTAATTGTTTTCAAACTACGACTTCAAATCAAATATTGTCATCAATTATCCAAACATTAGCACAAACCATTTCAGCAATAATTTATTGAACAAGTGCAAGATTCACAGATGTTTGACTGAAAATTGAAATAGTGAAAAAGATGCTATCAGTGTCCAAAATACACATAAAAAGTTAAGAATACTTCTTTACAATTCCTTTAGACACTCCTTATAATCCTGGTTTACATCCTTAAAACATAGATCTTGACAACCAACTGCAATGTATCTGACCTAATAATCCAATACAAAAACAAAAAATCACATGCAAAACACAGTGACAACTCAGCAAAACAGTCCAATATTTTGAACTAATATAAAAGATAAACCCTATCTCTATCTTAAAATTGTAAAAGGCCATTCACTTGCAGCCTTCTTCTCTCCCAGCCTTGACCCACTAAAACATACAAAGTGTAACAAATATTGAAAAATCAATAACCTTATTTTGTATATATTTAATTTTTATGATTAGCATAGAAATAAATTTTTTTCACCAATTGAATATTATGCACTTGACTGCTTATTATTATTATGAAATGTGGTTTGCTTCATACTTGAATAGACTTACGAAATATTGTCATTAAATATAGCTTTATCAGCTCTAAAAAACTTTAAAAACTTCAAGTCTTAAGAAACAAAGTCTTTAAATGGCATTTAGCAATTGTGAGTACAATATGTAGACACAACTTTATGGTTAAAGTTTTATGCAAAGTTTCGACGTGGTTCTTCTGTCGTCATTGGGCACATTCCTTATTGTACAAATGAAATGAAATAAGAGTTTTATATCCTACTGTTCTGTACCTTATTGGACTAATGAAATGAAATAGAGTTTTATATCCTACTGTTCTGTATCTTATTGAACTAATGAAATGAAATAGAGTTTTATGTTCTACAGTTCTGTATCTTATTGAACTAATGAAATGAAATAGAGTTTTATATCCTACTGTTCTGTATCTTATTGGACTAATGAAATGAAATAGAGTTTTATATCCTACTGTTCTGTACCTTATTGGACTAATGAAATGAAATAGAGTTTTATATCCTACTGTTCTGTACCTTATTGGACTAATGAAATGAAATAGAGTTTTATATCCTACTGTTCTGTACCTTATTGGACTAATGAAATGAAATAAAGTTTTATATCCTACTGTTCTGTATCTTATTGGACTAATGAAATGAAATAGAGTTTTATATTCTGCTGTTCTGTATCTTATTGGACTAATGAAATGAAATAGAGTTTTATATCCTACTATTCTGTATCTTATTGGACTAATGAAATGAAATGGAGTTTTATATCCTACTGTTCTGTACCTTATTGGACTAATGAAATGAAATAGAGTTTTATATCCTACTGTTCTGTATCTTATTGGACTAATGAAAAGAAATGGAGTTTTATATCCTACTGTTCTGTATCTTATTGGACTAATGAAATGAAATAGAGTTTTATATCCTACTGTTCTGTATCTTATTGGACTAATGAAATGAAACAGGGTTTTATACACTACTGTTCTGAAGTAGATAAAGTCCATGCAAATTTTTCTAGTACAAGATAGCCTATACTTGATATAAACGGAAATATTTTCTTTGTGGTGAATATACACTAATACTTTATCTTTAGAGAGAAATAAGATAACCTGATGTATATATATATATATATATATGTTTATCAATAAAAACTCTGATTCCCAACATTTCGACTATCATGACCTTCCTTATTGGAATTCGAAGAAGGCCGTAATGGTCGAAGCATTTGGAAATTTATGTTAGAATCTTTATTATACAATCAATCAGAGGCTTAATATACAGTATATGTTTATTTATAGGAAATTATGTTACCCAGGGTTTCTTGGTGAATTCTAATAGAAAAGAAGACTTCTACATACAATTACTTTGATAGGCAACAGCTTATATAATTTATCCTATTGTCTCTTTCAACATGTCCGAATAATTTATAAATCTTATTACTGTGTTTAACTGTTGTCAGTTTATTTTATATCAGGGATTATTTTTAATAAATCATCCCAATGTTTCTTTCATAATTCATAATCATTATCATATTCACAAGCTGCATAATCACAAACCAAGCATAAAACAGATTAGTATGAATATTTATAATCCCAGCCTCTTGTACGAGGTTTACCTGCCAGAAGGAATATTTAGCAGACGGTAGAATTATGTAATAGTTTTAAGTTGAGCTGACTATAGTGATCTAATTGATAAGAGCTCAAGCTTATAGGATAGAGACAAAAATATAACTGACACTGACAGCTTGGCAAGTTTTTATGGGCAAGCGAAGTTACTAACTGAGCAACCCCTGCTCCCCTCCTACCACAGACCCTATAAAGCCGTGCTGTAACACTTGTAGATTGTTTAACAATCCACCATTATGTCAGTCTTCTTCTGACAGCTGATTACTCGCTGCTACACACTGCACCAAACACTGTCACACCAACACAATATTTCTACAAACATATCCTCACAAAGCGACTTCAAAATAACATTTCTCGACGGAAAAAACGATATTTGAAATGACTAAACGAAAGAAAAAACATAGCAGAATCGTGCCATACCTTTCTTGCTGTCGTAACATCGAAAACGGTCGAGATTTTCGACGCTCAAAGTAAATCAATTCCTCAATTTTGTTTCGACTTAGTATGATGATGGCGGGTGAAGAATAATTGACAATAATAACCCAAGCCTTTTACGACATCAAAATCTTGTAAACAATCATATTTTATCATTTTACAGTTTCTCTAAAAGAAGATTTTTTCTATTTTTGTCACAAAATTAGCATTTCAATCACAAAATTATTTTTCTAAACATTTCCAACAACTAATTAATTTTGATATTTTTTTTTACGACAATTTATTCCTAATTACGATCAAGAAGCACGTGGTAGCTTGTTTACATTTTAAATCATACAAGGGGCGTGGTTTATTTCCTTATTTGGTAAATTCACTCAAAATTACGCAAAAAATAAGATAAATTGCTGCTACACTTAATATTTTTTTTCGCAAAAGATGGCGATCATTAATTCCACCTGTCAGAGAACAAGATATTGCGTAATAGAACAGAAAATTACAAAAATATTAGCAAAAATAAATAAGAAATAAATAAGTAAATTGAAAAGATTAAACCAATTTTCAATAATTGCTTGTGTTTGGTGGTAAAGAAAAGTAGTTTGGAACTACTAATTGGTCTAATTAATCTTATAAACTCGCCTAAAAGCTCGGCATCTAACATGACCGAACTTGTTTGAGAAAGAAACAAACGACCATATTTTTCAAAAGAATAACAACATTAACTATTTAGGTTCCAAAAGACACTTGGCATTGATCTTTCCCTGACTATCTGTAGGCTACCTACCCAATTTTAGTTGGGTCGACTGGTTAATAATGTGTAAAGATGCCGACCGAGATTAGAACCAACGACCACCATTTGATTAAACCAAGCAATTTACGAAAGAACTAAATTTCAGCTACCCGTTTCTGAAAGAAAGGTCGACGTCAGGTGGATCTGCAATTCAACAAAAGAATAGTGAGCGTTTTGTCAACATTCTGAAATTAAGTTTCTATTTACTTGTAGACAAACTGAATGCCCAAGTCGTATTTTAATTGTGAAAATTGATACAAAATTCTTTCAATTGATGAAGCAAATATTTAGAAGACCATAACCTTTTAGTATTTCATTAACACCGACCGATTGTTTACTTTAGATTTTGTGATTGTTCGAAGTAATGAGCTGGGATATACTCGTTTGTTACAGATTTCCTTAGAATAACGATATTATATAACTGTAGTCTGTAGTAGACATTATAAAAACAAGAGTTACCTCTCTTCCATCATACAATAATCAAATATTTTCACTGTTAAAATAGTGCACTTCCATTATAAATATAATAATAAACCGAGTCCCCGTGTGCTACAGGCTCTGCATGTTA